CTTTAGGACATACCTTAACATTGCAACCTCATCTTCTAGGCCTACCAATCCCTTGAATGAAAATTTGGTCAGAGTGGATGACAAGCACCTTGGAACTCCGCTGGGATCCCTCCAACTTAAATGATGAGTGTGTTCCTTACACTCACCTTCCAGTGGAATTTAAGGACTTGTAACACGATGGACTGTTCAAGCATGATGTTCAGGCAGCTCCTTTGCAACAGTAAAGTTGGATTTCCAAATTCGATAATCTGTCAAATTGACAAAGCGATTTGGCTAGGGGGTCAATCGCATAGCTCAGTACATCCCTGGCCGTTCTCTCTAATGTCAAAAACTTAGCCAGGCGCTGCATTTGAACTGCTTCTGCAACTGCAATGGGATATTGACTCTTCCCAACTTTGGAGTAATGACAAGTTAACGTTGTATGGGCAGGATTTGTCAATTTCAGCAAGGTTTCGAGAGCAGGGCCATCTATTTCTAGATCAGGCCAACAATTGAAGAAATAGCACAAAGATATCACAATGAACATGAAAAGATCTTAAACATAGTTATGCTGTCCTCTTTTACTGATATGAAATTAAGAGAAACTAGGGCGGGGCAACCAGAGACAAATTTGTTCAAAGACTCGCCCGATACATATATGACCTTATACAAGGTAATCAGTTTAATTTTTGGAAGACAAACTTTCCTGCCCGAGACCTTAAGAACAAAAGGGCCACATAAATAGAGTGATTCTAGTGTACCAGAAGTAAATAGCTCTCCAGGTATATCACAAAAAAAAAAAAAAAACTATTTCGGATATTAAGCTCAAGATTCCTAACATTTCGATGGATGACAGCATGGTGCACCCACATGTTAAGGTAAGCTAATTCAGATTCATCAGGCGACCGGAAAAGTCGAAACTTTTTCAAGTTCTTAAAAACATTATAAAGAAACACATTATTAACAAACTGCACAAAAATCATCTTATTGTTTCCAACTCCTCCTCCTCCTGAGCCCATCAACTCAAAATCAAAGGCCTGGACATTAGTCCACAGAGATTTCCACCGTTTGGATAGCACGCAGGTTTTAACATCATCTTTTGTTGGGAGACGGGAATGGATGTTGACGATGGCCAACTCCGGTAAATTGTAGAATCGATCAACCGGAGACGTAACCCTAGGGTACGTTCTGATCCTTGATACCTATGTTTTCAAAACCGGACCGGAAGGTAAACCATTAGCGTGAATGGATTGATGGAATTATCGGGATAATGGGTTAGTTCGTTCCTCGAAACCAGTGAAAACTGGTTAAAATAATATTAAAAAAATATTTAAAAATTGAATTTTTTAAAAAAATATTCAAAAACCGGTACCGGTTTCTGGTCAAACCGCAGCTTTGTCCGAATTTGACCGGGTTATACAAAATTCGGTTTTTATGCAAACCGGACCGGTGAGGCTTTCGGTTCTCGGGCTAACTGGTTAGACCGCCCGTCCGGTCCCGTTTTAAAAACACAGCTTGACACAGGAGCGGCTCAATGTTTTCGGAGGCCTAAAGTGAATACAGAATTAGGGCCTTTTAAATATAGAAAAATAAAAAATATATAATTTATTATAACAGTACAAAAAAAATTTGCTTGATATATTTATTCCAAACTAAAATTTTTAGATGTTATTATATGGCATCGCAAACTTAAATAGTTTTTTCATTACTTTTCTTTTAGGGTTTCGTGAAAATGTTAACGGTCAATTTTTCTACACGTAAAATGCACGTGAATTGATCGAAGAACATTATATGTCTATCATAAAAATTTGACGCAGTCTTCTGTATCACATGATGTACTTGTGAATTTGCAAGAAGTTAAATTTTATATACACAGTACCGTTCGATCAATTCACATGCATTTCAAGTGCAAAGAGCGGACCATTAATTTTTCCAGAAAACCTAACAGAAAAGTGATAGAAATATTATTTGAGTTTGTAGTTTCATATAATAACATCTGAAACTTATAGTTTTGAATGAATATAGCAAAAGATTTTTTGGTATTTTTGAAATAATTTATTGAAAGACTTAAAATTTATAAAAACCTCTTTTATTCTGATAGATTTGTAAACATTTAGTAGTTCTTTTGGTGGTTGGATAAATTGCGAGTGATTAAAATTTGTAAAACTTGAGAAGTTCTTTATTATTTTTTTTTTAAAAAAAGAAAATTGATTTTTTATATAAAGATTTAGAAAAAAGAGAACTCAAAATTTGTGGAGTTTAAATTGGGATCAAAAGTTTGTATCTTTTTAGTTTTAATTGTAGCCTATTTTATTTATTTTAATTTTTTAAAGTAGTAAGGTAATATTAATTTTTGAAGATTTGGGGCCTTCCTATTAAGGTCTAAAGCTACTGCTTCATTAGCTTTATAGGAAGGCCGGCCTTGGCTGAAGCTGAATATGCTGCGTCATCGGGAATGGATCCCATGTAGACTATGTAAACCTGCATCCATTCAAAACACAAAGAGAAAAAGTTATGATCAATTATATATTAACATTAAACATATCAGAAAGCTATTTTGATCAATAATGATTAAATATAAATGTCTTGCCTTTCTGTCTTTATTCTTCAACTCAGAGCTTCCATTGAAGCTAAGGAAATGGAAGACACAAAGGATGAAGAAAACACGAAGACACTGAAATACTCTTGCCATATTGTACCTTTTCAGTAGTATTCTCACACATTCAATGGATTATGAATTTGGCCCATAACTATCACAATTTATAGATCATTATTTAATTACTAGTACAATAGAACATTATTTAATAGTAAATAAAACAATAAGAAAAGGACAATTACTTAGTATTCTAAAGTAAAACTAAACCCGAATGTGACAACATTGGGGAATAATCAGACTAGCTACCTGATTTTTGTTTCGATTTTTAGAGTCAGTTACAATATTTTGGCTGGAAATTGATAGTATCAAACTGATAATTGATGAGATGATGACAATATATAATTGATCGTTTGATCATATATGTCGCAAACACTTGACCACATCACAACTTTTTCTAACCTGTGTAGACAGTGGCGGATTTACAATGGGGGCGCGTGCCCCCACTAAATATCATGAATGGTAAATATAGCATATAGTTTTAAAAATTTTTAAAATTAACCTTATTTTTTAATTAAATCCTTTTAGATATCTTATATTTTGTTATTCACATAAACTTTTATTACTTTAAGTTACTATGTGTCATTTATTGTTTAAATAGAGTATCACTACTAACAAATATATTTATCCATTTGATGATTATATGTCATCTTAATTATTTAAAATTGTACTTAAATATATATAACTTATATTAGTCATGTATCATTCACGAACAAATCAAGTGTAAACTTGTGTAAATCATGTTTATATGTTTATTCATAAAGTTATCGAAAAATTGATTGATTGATATATGCTAGTCTCGTGTCCTTACTAAAAAAAATTTCTGATTCCGCCACTATGTGTAGATCGATTTATAAAGAAGAAGATCATCCAGATGTGTCTCTAGCCCATTAATCTGCAAGTTAATTGTGAAATTCCCCCCTAAAAAATTACCAAATATATATATATATATATGTATATATACTCTTTTTTTCCCTTTTCCTTTTTCCTGATGTAAACCTATTTTTAGTTTTTCTTTTTCCGCTGATGTTCACAAATAAAAAATGAAGAAAACGGAAACCATGTATATATATGTCCTTAATTTCGAGATATTCTTAATTATATTAAAATGTTTTTTTGTTTTTTGTTTGGCCTCCTGATTTTCGACTAACTAATACATTGATGTTTCTATGAGGACTCTTGGTGTTTGGGAGGATTGTCGCTGCAAGTGATTTAAGAATCTTATTCGCATCTTCGAGATTTGTTATTAAGAAAGTAATCATTCGTATCAACTCTTACTGCGACACGAATGAAGTGGTCATAATCAAAATATATCAACTTAGCTGTTGACTACTTAGTTGTTGAGATGAAATTGAACAGCCCTTCTTTAAATTTGACAATAGTTTTCTCAAAACTTTTTTTTTTTTTGTTTTTTGATGGATTCAAAACTTTCAGTTTCAAAACAAGAGTCTCTGCTATATTCTAAATCGAAGAGGAATTTTTTTTTTTTTTTTTGACTTATGAATTTGACATACTAGGTAATTTACACATTTTGGTTAAATTCATAAGAAAAAATATCCATTTTTCTTTTACTTTCATTTTGCCACTTAAAAGTGGAAAGTGTTTCAAGTTGAAAACTAAATGGGAAATGAAAATGTTGTTTGGCTGGTGTTTTGAGTAAAAAGTTGTTTGGATGTTGGTTTTAAAAAAAATATTTTGAACTACATTTTGAAAATATCAAGTACGAGTCATCACTAAATAATTAAATACTGTCAATTAAAGTCACTGCAAAAAAGAAATTTTTCAAAAACAATCACTCAACAACGGAATCCTGCCAAATTTGTCATTGAACTATTTGTAGTTCTAAAATGGTCATTACACTAACAAAAAGTGTTTTAAGTTGGAATTTAAAATGTAAATCAGAAAGTTGTTTGGATGATGTTTTCTTTTTCATTGAGTTTTGTGTTTAAGAGATAAAATAAGTTAAAATGTAAAATAAGTGGACGTCCAAAACTGTACATTTTGGTTAAATTCATAAGAAAAAATACCCATTTTTCTTTTACTTTCAAAACCCGACATAGAAAAATTTGCAGACAATATCTCGCATTCATAATGATTTTCCCACCTCAATGCAATAGAAACAAATAATATTCCCAAACAAAATTACATTCAAGGTAAGAGAGTATTCTTCCGGCCAAGACATGTACTCCTTCTGTCACAAAAGAAAAATAGTATACATTTTGATATAAATTATTGTGAACTATTTTTACGGGAAAGATAGATTACTTTAAAAACCTGCAACCTGTTACCAAACTTGGCACTAGTGAAACATTGAGACAAATGGAAGCACAATCCAACTTGATGGATACTTAATTTGTGTAACTAATACTTAATCCAATTGATTTCGTGTCCGCTTGGTAGGAATGGCTGATAACGGATCGCTTTTCCTCACGACAATTCCAGATTTTTCAGAAAGATCGTCCTCTTTGGTTTTGGTTGGATTCCAATCAAATGAATACAAGAAGGATGCCAACAGATACTTGATCATTTTCTCAGCTAAGGGAATTCCAGGACAAATTCTTCTTCCTGATCCAAATGAAATGAACTGGAAATTGTTACCACTGAAATCCCATTTTTTGGGTTCAATCAGAAACCTTTCAGGCTTGAACTCAGGATCTCTCTGTATTGCCCAGGCATTAATTAAAACCCGAGCATCCTTCGGGATAGTGTACCCGTCTAGGATACAGGATTTGCTAGGCCGCCTTGGAACGAGGAAAGGTAATGCGTGGTGTAACCGAAAAGTTTCCTTCACTGCTGCATCCAAATAATGCAGCTCCGGGAGACGAGATTCGTCAATAGCTCCGTCAGGGCCTATTACATCGTCGAGTTCAGTCTGAATTTTTTCAAGGACTTCCCTGTGATGTACAATTTCTGTCATCGCCCATTCGATCATTGTGGATGTAGTGTCTGTCCCTCCAAGCACAATGTCCTTAATTTCACATGACGAGAATTGTGTCAGTAAAAATGTCTGAAATTGAATGCAAGATTTTAAGCAAATCATGCTCATCTTTGTATTGGCACCATGTGGATGACTGAAAAGTAGAAAACCATTAGTAGTATAAATTGAAAGGATGATAAAAAAATAAAAAAAACTCTAAAACATTACCAGCAAGATGGCTTTTTTCTGTGTCAGGCTAATCTCTTCCCCAGTATCTTCAAACTTCTTGATCTCAAGCAGAATTTGAACAAAGTCTTTTTTCTTTCCATCACTTTTTATTCCATCCTCTGTCATCTTAATCCTTTTATCAAACGCTGCATTGAAAATCTCATCAGTTGTTTGTAAAAGAGACTTGGCTTCTCTCTCAATGCCCTGAATATCAAACCTGCGAAGGCTAGGATAGAAGTCGGATACATTTGGCTTGGCGAAAAGATCCATCATCTTCCCAAACACCTGCCTGAAACTAGTTCCTGTTTCTAATTGCTGCCTGGAATCAAGTGTTTTACCCCACAACATACTCAAAACCACATTCATTTCTGTCAAGAATGCCAGATTACCAACCTCTACAGGCTTTCCAACCCTCATTCCAACATATTCAACAGCCTTTATCACCTCATCTTTTCTAAGATCATAGCACGCGTCGAGGTTGCTTCCGCTAAGCATCTCCCGAACGAATACTTTTCGCATGTTGCGCCAGTAGGAGCCGTAGGGACACCAAGCAATGTCGAATCCTCCATAAGTAAGAGCCTCCGCTGCAGCAGGAGGATCCCGGTTTCCAAATGTAACGTCTTGGTCTCGCGTTACCTCTTTGACGAGAGAAGGCGAGCTCAGTACGACACAGAGTTTGTTTCCAAGCTTAAGCTTGAAAATCGGACCATATCGATGAGCCAATTCAGTGAACTGAGTATGCAAGTTGGGGGTTAAGAATGGTAAGTATCCAACAATTGGCAGACCCCAAGGCCCTGGTGGCAATAGGGTCTTTTCCCTCTTCTTGAATATCACAGTTAAGTACCAGAAGATGGAAACTATCAGGATTGAAACAGCAAGAAAAGCTTCCATGTTGTTGAACTCCATGGAAGATGCTTTGCATAGGCAATGTGAGTGAAATGAAATTTGAAGTCAAAAGAGTTTTTGTGGCTCAAGGATTAGCCAAAGGGCAAGACAACTGTTTATGTTGATTTTTTCTACTGTTACATTATAGCCATTCAATTATGGAAAATTTGAGAGTGGCAGAATTTGAAATTTAGAGACAAAGAGGGCCTGCCGTTTTAAGGTAAATACAGGCATATCTTCAAGTAAAATATATTTCTTTTTATCCAATGTCATGTAATAATGTTCAGTCCAGTTCAGATGAAAATAATGCCAAACAAGTTTACATAACGACATAACTTTTTTCGTTTCTTCTTAATTAATGATAATGGCTCAATATGTTGAAACTTGGTAAGTGTTAAACAGAGTTTTTGATTTTTTTTTTCTTTTTTGGGGTCTCAGTATTAAAAAATACGATGCAAATAGACCCTTGGCAGCTCAGTTGCCTCAGATAGACCCTTCACACTTTTTATGGTACTCTGAAGAACTAGTTTTGTCAGTATTTTGGCTTGATATCTCAAGGAACATGTTATAATGAAATCAGATTCCTATATATTTACATCTAACATTTTGAATCGTCGAATCAACCTTCAAAAATTGCCTCATCAACAATAGGTAGTTCCCAAGTAAACTGAAACGATTAGACTATAAAGGATTATAAGGACGTCAGTCTTACAATTGGCAAATTTGCTGGTTCAAGACTGATCATGGACCAGTACTTCAACAGATAATAACAAGTTCTCAAGTTGAGAATAAGGCAGTTTATTTCGTGCAATGTTCAACAACACTGTTGTAATACCAACAATATTGAGCAATAATACCAGGAGAACTCTGAGAGATGAAGCCAAAACTAGCTAGTATCATCATTTTTGGGGAGGAATAGCCAACAATGGAATACTTCTCCTCATGGCAATTCCAAATTTATCAGAAAGGTCTTCCTCTTTGCTTCTACTTGTCAGTAACTCACAGATAAAAACATTACTATCTACCATATATACTATAGAAATAATCACTAATCAACTAATTTCCCTATAGAACAATGTATCAGAACTCCCTTTATCCTAAAACTATTTTCAAGTTTGAATTCGCAATTTTAGCTCAATGTGTACTATAAAAATCAAAATCGGAACTAAACAATAAATTCGGGACGAAATAAGTATTAATTTTCTTGCCCCACTCGGTCCCCAATCGTGAAGGCAAATGGCGGGAATATATACACTTTGTAAGGATGCCTGTCTCATGGGCAGAACTAGAGTTGTCGTGTCGGGTGCACCAACGGACTAAAAACCACGATGAATAAAACAAGTCGACAAAGATTTTATTTATACTCTATCTAATTGGTCAACTCTACTGTAGACAAAAGGAGCTTGACTATGAAGTCGACGACATGTTAATCAAACTCGTCGATTATATCGTCGACAACTACATCCCGACGATAGCATCGACAGTATGTTTTTTATTTCCAGCCCAATTGTGAATTCTCTCCAGCCCGACAACGACATGGAAATGTGTGAATGTTGTGCTTTCATGAGCAGTATTTTACACACTTTAATTAATCTTTCTAGTTAAATAAAGCCGGCGAGCAGGAGGGGAACTAGATAGCGATGAAAAGACGAAACCATAGTTTTGAATAAAAAATCCAAACAATTGCAAGAGATCCAGAAATTTGATACTAACTTCAAAGATTAAGCTGATGAAACTGTTTCGCCATACTTCATATCAGTGGGGGGAGGTCAGATCATCATTGAGATATCCTAAGTACACAGCAGAAGGTCCTCAAAAGCTCGCAAGGTGTTGGCATGAAAATGTTATTTAGATGATCATCTTAAGGTAAAACTCATTCCACGGTCATGAGAACCTCTTGCAAACATTGATATCTTTTGAAGCATCTGAAACTTGAACTCCAAATCAGTAGTCGACGTCATAGTCATAGCAGGAGGCTGAGATACTAGTTCAACGCTTTTCAAAACTGCGCCGTGCTTTAGGATATACCTAATCATTGCAACTTCATCTTGTCGGCCTACCAATCCCTGGAATGAAAATTTTGTTAGAGTGGATGACAAGCACCGAGGAACATGGCTGGGATCCCTCCAATTTAACTTGTGAGTGTCTTCATCACACTCACCGTCCATTGAAATTTTGAGGACTTGTAACACAATCGACTGTTCAAGCAAGACACTAAGGCAGCTCCATTTGCAACAGTGAAGTTGGATCTCCAAGTCCCTTAAGTTCTCAAACCAATATAGCGATTTGACTAGGCGGTCAATTGCATAGGTCAGTGCAACCCCCGCTGTTCCCTTAGACGGCAGAAACTTCGCCTGGTTATGCAATTGAACTACACTCTCAACCAAATTGCAAAATCCGCTCTTACCATCTTTCGTGTAACAAAGTATCGCTTTGTCCGCCTTAGGATATGTCGATTTCAAAGAGATTTCAAGAGCAGGCGCATCAATTTCCAAATCAGGCCAGCAATTGGTGCAAAAGACAGAGAGACTTCTCAATGAAAGGGAAGAGATCTTGTAAACAGTTATGTTGTCGTCACGGAAACAATGTAATGATAGATTGATTAGCACAGGACAACAAGATACGAGTCTGTGCAAAGACTCACCCGATTCATATATGACTCCAAAAAGTTCCAAGGTATTTAGTTTAGGGAGACAAACTTCCCTGCCTGAGACCTTAAGAACAAAAGGGCCACTTAAATAGAGCGATTCCAGTGTACCAGAAGTGAAAAGCTCGGCAGGAACATCACAAATAAAACTAAATCCGATCTTAAGCTCAAGATCCTTAACACTGCGATGGATGATAGCATGACGCACCCACATGTTAAGGTAAGCTAATTCAGATTCACCAGGCGACCAGAAAAGTCGAAACTTTTCCAAGTTCTTAACAACATTGTGAAGAAAACATTATTAACAAACTGCACAGAAGCCATCCTATCGCTACCTCCTTCTCGGGGGCCCGGCAACTCAAAATCAAAAGTGGGAACATTAGTCCACACAGATTTCCATCGTTTGGATAGCACGCTTGTTTTAACAACATCTTTTGTTGGGAGACGGGAAAGGATATTGACAATGGCCAACTCCGGTAAACTGTACAATCTATCAATCGGAGACGGGCACTGTATGATCCTTGACATCATTGAAGAAGCTATAATTTTGAGAAGAAATCAGAAAGGAGAAAGTTCAGATTAAAGGGAGTTACCGTCTAGGGCATAATGTTATTTAACCAGAAAATAATAATAATAACATTAGGCCTCAAATATCATCAAAGTATCAAATTTTTTCTTGTAGCCAGCCATCAGACCTCTCGGATTTATAGCTATAGAGATTCGACCACTAGGAAACCGGTTCCAATTAATTCGGGATACATCTTCTAAACTACTTCGGCTTTAATCCAAACTAGATGCTTGCCCGGGCATTTGCCCGGGACGTCCTCCCACCTAATAAATTGATATGTAAATAATCAAAACTGATTTGGAATGAATTTAGTTTTTTATGAAGATAATTGATTGACCAAAAATTAATTTTTTTAAAAGTCCTAAATAAGTGGAGAAGGAAAGTTCCATTCACTGTCAAATTCAAAATTTGAATGAACATGGCCATCTGATCTCTTCGTTAATATTATAAATATCTTTTTTGTTTTTAAAAGGGGGTGACACGTGGCAGAATAGTTTATGCAATATGGTGCATTTGGAGCTAAAATATTTTTATAAAAAATTGACACATCAACATCATGTTTTCTGTTTTAATAGGGTAAAAGAGATTTCCTAATCTAACTTAATAATACTACTAAATTCGGTCAACATATGGGTAAATTAATCTACGACCTTAAACCGACTTATAATCTGTTAAAAACTACGGGCTAATCCAAATTAAGCCAATAAACAAAAATACCCACTAAAACATAGAGAAAATTTGGCTTTCAGGTTGATTTTATTCACACTTAATCTATTCTAACCACTGTGCCTTTTAGGTTAGGGGAATCGATGGTTCAAGTCGAAACTGTTCTCACATTTTATTTCTCCTCGGGGCTAAAGACCTCGACTATTACTATGTCGTGACAATTTTATTCACTACTTAATCCTACTTTATCGTTGTTTTTATCATCGGTTTTATTTTACACAATTTGAAAATTCCTTTTGACGACGATATTGTATTTTATTCTTAAACTTACTCATATAATATTTTGTCATTGTTCCAATAACCAGCCAATAAATAAGTAGGAAACCCATTTCATCCTAAAACCTTGAGATAATAGATCTTAGGACCAATTTATTTATTAACTATTCTCTATTACTCATAAATACTGATGTGGAATAATTAACCTACTCATAACCTCAACAATACATCAACAATAACGTCGACCACATCGAAAACCCGTGAAGAATGAACCAAAGTTATCTTTGCCAAGGACAAATTTAAGCGTATACACTGTCATCACATCATGACTGATAATGAGCTACAACATAAAAACTAACAAGTTTGGTATTGTCAAGAAGTAATTAATTCATTTCGTATAATTATGAACAACATATACTTCCTCCAGTCCTTGATATAAAGCATTTTTATTTAAACTAAGTTTCACCTAGTATGTATTTTTAATTGAAAAAAAAAATCTTCAAATATATATTTCACATTTTTTGTACTCTCTTGATTTTTAAGAAATATTTTTAAGATATTTTTGTTAATTAAATAGGTATTAGATGAAACCTATGAGAAATCAAAATGCTTATATTAAGGACCGGAGGAAGTATTTTGGTTGATATCACAGGTGTTGAACTAGTAATAATCTTGTGCTTTCTTGCTAGGCATAGCCCACAATGGAGTATTGAAAAGCCTAAGATCCGCCATTGAGAAAGCTTAAGAAGAAGAAGAAGCAGTTAAGAAAGTCGGTTAACAGCTAAGTATTTTTTGTAAAAAGGTATATTCAATTTATGAGTAAAATCTAATTTATATGTGTCTATACAAATCCTATTGAGTGAACCCCAAAATAGGTCATTTAATTATTGGGTCATTTGACTACAGGTCATCAATCAAATTTATTTCTAAAATCAGTCACCATACTAAACCAAAAATCCATCCCATCAGAAGTCATTATGCCAGTTTTGTTCATTAAATAGTGATGGAAAGCTACTTTTTACATGCTTTTGGGTTCATGGGTATTTTGGTCATTTTTTTTTAATTTTTGAAGTTTTCTATTTTTTTTTACAATTTTTTTTCATACATTCTAACTTGTATATGTTGATACTTGTATACTTATTAATTTTAAAAAATAAATTTTTTTTTATTTTAAATTTTAGATTATAAAATTTTTGAAAAAATATAAAAAAAAAATTCGAGTTGAAGTAAACATAAAAATTTAATAGCCTATCATTTTAAACAAAAAAAAACCCTTAAATGAATCAGTTAAAACAAGTTGTATCTTCTTGGTTATTTTGTGCATTAAATCACGATGGGAAGCTATTTTCAACATACTTTTGGGTCTTTGGGTAGTGTTATTTTGTCCTTTTTCTTAAAAAGTTTAATTTAACTTCTTTTTTTTTTTTAAAAAAAAAAAATCATTTTGTTCCTATACTTCCTAACTTATATATGTTGGTACTAGTATAATTAGTAAATTTCAAAAATTAATTTAACTTTTGTATTTAACTTTTAGATTATAATTTTTTTTTGAAAAAATGAAGAAGAAAAATTCAAATTAATTGAAGTAAACATGAAAATTAATAATCAAAAAATTAAATTCGAGCGAAAAATAATTAAATAACCTAGAAGAAATAAATTTTCTCAGTTAATTTTAATTTTTTTAATGGTAACCTATTAATTTTTATGTTTACTTCAACTCGAATTTTTCTTATTCACATTCTTATTTTTTTAAAAAAGTTTATAATCTAGAAGTTAAAAATACAAAAAGTAAATTGATTGTTAATATGTAATAATTATACAAGTATCAACATATACAAGTTAAGATGTATTAAAAGAAAAATTGTAAAAAAAATTAAACATTCAAAAAATAAAAAATAAAAAATGACGAAAATATCCCTAAACCAAAAAGCATGTGAAAAATAGCTTTCTGTTACTATTTAACGGCCAAAACTTATAGAATGAGTTCGGATAGATTTTTGGCTTAGTATGGTGACCGATTTTAGGAATAAATTTGATTGATGACCTGTGGTGAAATTACCCAATAAGTGATTATTGGTGTCCTATTTATACTTAATCATTGGTGTCATTTCTACGCTCATTTACAGAAGGGCTAAGTAGTAATTCTACTACAAAATGTACAACTCTCTATGCATTATGTACAACTACCTAAAGCACACGATTGTAATAAATTATATACATTTTCCTACTTCTGTACAAGTCACGTGATCCCAAATATTTGTCCCATAATTTGCTCATCCACATCAACATCTTCGAGAGAGAGTTCATTCTGCTGCATAGAAGATTCAACCAGCTGAAGCTTAGGCATTAATTCATAGAAGTATGTTCCCTCATGACAATTCCAAACTTATCAGAAAGGTCTTCCTCTTTATTTTTGGTTGGTTTCCAATCAAATGCATGAAAGAGAGAAGCCAAAATGTACTTAACCATTCTCTCAGCTAAAGGAATCCCTGCACACGCCCATCACTGAAATCCCAAAGTTTTGTTTCCACCAGAAACCTTTCCGGCTTAACTCCAAGGGATGGATCATCCCATAACTCAGCATCTCTTTGTATCGCCCAGGCATTAATATATACACTAGTACTCTCTGGAACATTGTACCCACCAACAATGCTGGATTTGCTTGGGCCCCTTGGGGAAAGCAGACGAAGAGCAGGATGAAAGCGGAAAGTTTCCTCCACTACAACGTCCAAATAATGCAGTTTTAGGAGATCGGATTCTTCAACAATGTTGTCCAAGCCTACAGCTTCTTCGAGTTCTTTCTGGACCTTTTCCAGGACTTCCCTGTGATGCACAAGTGCTGTCATTCCCCACTCGGCCATCGTGGCCGTAGTGTCAGTCCCTCCAATCACAATGTCCTTCATTTTTGACACAAGGTAAGAAAAAAAACTTTGATTTTTATTATCAGTAATGCTGCTAAATTGGCCCTTATACTATCTGAACATATGGATTCGTAGTGATACATGATTAACAGATTAAGGAAATCAATCTGTATGTCTACTTGTGATCAAGATTACTTTGTTTTAGAAAGATTATTTAAGTGGGACGTAGCGAGTATATCTAGTTGATAATTACGTAGGAACTTGGAAATGTAGATCAGAATATATTATAACTTTGAGACGTCTTCAACATATAGAGAGGCCGGCCGGCTTATGTTGAAATCATTTAAAGATTAAATCGTTATTTCTATCAAAATCACAAAAAAGTTCTCATAGAACTGAGATACCTTTAGTTAATCACATTTTCATCAGTTTGTATATTCAGAGGTAAGACTAAGGCAAAAGAAATAGTACCAATAAGATGCCTTTTCTCTGCGACATAGTAGTGTCTTCTCCTGTATCTTCTAGATTCTTAAGCTTAAGAAGTATTTGAACAAAATCCTTTTTCGTTCCACCAATTCTCATTTCATCATCCATATCTTCATTCTTTGATTAAACGCTGCATAAAAAATTTTGTCAATTTGTTGTAGAATAGACTTGGCTTCTTTCTCAAGTCCCTGTAAATCAAACCTGCGAAGAATTGGGAAGAAATCGGATAAGTTTGGATTTCCCAGCAGATTCAACATTTTTCTCAAACAACACCCTGAAATCAGCTCCCACTCTGCTTTGCCGTTTAGCTTCAACTATCCCACCACTCAAAACCACCTTAAGCTCCGTCACCAATGTCTAAGGTGTTCCAACTTTCATCCCAAAATCTTCTTTGGCCTTAACCACCTCACCTATTCTTAGATCATAGCAAGTATCAAGGTTTGTTCCACTTAGCAACTCTCGCACGAATAATTTTTTGGGTGTTGCGCCAGTAAGAACCGTAGGGTGACCAACTGATGTTGAGTCCTCCATAATTTAGAACCGTAGGGCGTCTTGATCTCGGGTTACCTCTTTGACCAGAGAGAAGGTGAGCTGAGGATAACATAGAGTTTGTTTCCAAGCTTAAGCTTGAAAATCGGGCCATGTTTTTGAGCCAATTCATCCAACCGAGTATGTAAACTTGTGCCCAGAAACGGCGAGTATCCAACAATTGGCAAGCCCCTTGGCCCCGGTGGCAAAAGAGACCCTCTTATCCGTCATCTTAAATATCGCTGCGAAGAGCCATAAGATGGAAAGCATCAGCATTGAAATCATAAGAACAGCTTCACCAGGATTTCCCCATCTTAAAGATTGGCATTGTGATAACATCAAACACCATTCTTGCCCCTGTATATAAACCACAAACTGGTTTGCTCAAAGATTTATTTGAGAGTTGACAAATCTTTGAAGTTAAAAGATGAGAGTAAAATGTCCAAATGGTCCCTTATATTTGGGCTTATTTGAATTTACGTTCCTAACATTAGTATTTCAATATTGTAGTCCTGAACATTATGTTTTCAAACTTTTTTGGTCCCATTTAACTGTTTCGGCCATTTTTCCGTCCAGCTCTATGTTGGCGGGCAGTTGACATGTCGGAATCAGGAGTATTTTTGTCTTTTCATATCATTTTAACTTTTATTAAAATTTAAAATAAAAACAATTAAAAAATTCACATTTAATTATTTAATTGTTACAATATTATTTATTAATTTAAAATATTATTATAAAAATTTAAAATTAACATTATTTTAAAAAAGTACTTTTTCTATTTATCATTTACTTGGCCAGAACATGGTCGGAATCCGGTCGGCCGGTCGCCGGCTGGCGACAGCATGGCGGCGGCAGTGGGTGGTCCAGCTGCGAGAGGCGGTGGTGATGTAAAAATAATACTTATTATTTTATTTTAAATACTTTGCCTGTAACTTTTTAAATTTTCACTAAAACCACATTTTAAATCATATCTGATATGCTTATATTTTATCTATTTATTATATCCCTAATTTGTGATTTTTGCAATATATTCTGAGTACAAATATGCTATTTATCTTTATTTGTAGGTTTTGTACTCAAATGGAGGAATTGTAGAAATTTGGGTTAAAATGAAGATAAAAGCAACTCAAAGTGAGAATTGAAGATTTGATAAATTGACAAGGAAGAAATTGAAGTACTTGAAGAGTTGGAGGAGTTTTAATTTAAATTGGCTTGAAAAAAAAAAAAACTTTCTTATTCATGAAGAAATAGAGTTTGACGAAAGCCTATAAAAGGAGGATTAAGGTTTTATTTTTTGGGGACTGAACCCTGCACCATTGAGCACCCAGTCCCTTCTCACGCACCAAACCACCACCTTTCCTTCTCTCCTCCTTGCCGCTCTACCTTCCAACTCTATGCACCAAAACACCCTCTCCTCCCACACTTTCTCCACGCACCAAATCAGCCCTTCCCACACCTTCACCATTAAAAAAAAACACACGCAGCACCATCAGCCCCTCATCACCTACGCACCATCATCGGAGGAAGCAAGTAGCAACGCATCAATTTTCGGACTCAACTTTTGGCCTACTTCTCCCAGGTTTCATTGTTTTATTTATTTTTGAGATGATGTGTAGCTAAATATTTTTAATCTAGGGTTTTGGATGTAGCCGCCGTACTATTTAATTTAATTTAAGTTATGATTGTGACTTTTTCATTAATTAATATTTATTATTTTTGTTTTTTCATCCATGTGAATACCTGATCAATATTTGCATGTTTTAAGATGCTAGCTAAAGTAGCGAGAGTGGAAGGCTAGTATTAGTTTGTAAGAATAATAAACTTAGGTAGTGAGCCAAGAGAGTAGGAACACCGCCTTTGCGACTAGTAATTCCAAAGTTCTTAATGTGCTTTTATTAATCCCTATAGTCACGAGAGTAGTCATAGGGTTAGTTTAAGTAAGAGGGTTATAGTCACGAGAGTGTATAATTCTTAAATTGGTGAATTGTCGTGAGATTAATGAAAGTCCAAAGTCACATATCTATAGGTTGAGTTAAACTGAATAGTCGGTTGGTGAACCTTTACCCTAGGTTTTTCTTTTACTTATTTATACCTTTAAATAATTGCAATTGTTAGTTTTAGGTTTAGAATAGTTCAAAGTTGATAAATTGTTAATCTAAATAATAATAAGAAATAATTTTAACCCGGTACTTGGTATCCTTCTCTGTAGGATCGACCCTTCTTGCTACTTTACTACTACTAATTGTATTAAGTAGGTTATTAATATTTGGCTAGTGTGACGACGGCTTGTCAATATCTCTAATTGAGACCAGTAACTAAGCCAAAAACTTAAATAAACCATTTTTTATCCGGATTTTTATCCCACAATTTTCTTTTTCTTAAAAAAAAAATGAATTTTGAATTAGTTAGTGTAGCACAGTAAAATTTTAGAATTGAATTATGAGTTTACTGTAGCGGTCAAAGTCAAAAATCTTGGTTTCGTTTTTTTTTAAAAAAAATTTGAATTTTGAATTTTTTAATGTGACTAAGTAAATTTTTAAAGTTACAGTGGGGCGGGATTAAAAGTGCAACATAATTAGTATTTACTTTGTACCTAAGGTAAATAGTAAATGCAAAAAGTAATTTTAAAATAAATTAAATTTTAACATAATATTCTAAATTAACAAATGATATTTTGACAATTAAATAATTAATATAAATTTTTATAATAATATTAATGATTTAAATTTTAATGGAAGTTAAAATAATATGAAAAGATGAAAATACCCCCGATTCTGGCATGTCGATTCAAGTAAGTTCAAATGTAAGGGACCATTAGAAGGAAGATGTGTAAATCCATTGAATGGTATACTACAACGGTCTACAGTTTGTTCATGCTCGATAGGCAATCAGTCGTCTTTGTTTAGTGGAACAGAGAGCTTGATTACCAAGTCGACGACATTGTTTTTCATGCTTAATTTCACTCTTCGACTTGAGCATTGGGATAGAGAGACTGATGATTAATTAAGTAGACGATCATTTTATTCAGATTTAATCGTATAACGTCCACTATTTTCTCCTACTGGGAGCTCGGTTGTTGAAGTCCACGACATGGAAATGTGGAAAGGTTCTGCTTCCATGGGCTATTTGATACCTTGTAATCCTTCTAGTTTAAAAATTTCTGGTCAGCAGGAAGTTCTTGTTTTCCATAGAAAGATGATACTTATCTTAAAACTTGTTAACAACTGTGTGCGAGGATGCAAAAGAAAATGCTAGAGATGAAAAGTTGAAACCATAGTTTTGAGCCATAAATCCAAAAATTGCAGAGACGAATAAGAGGACACAAGTTTTATTCTTACTGTACTGATCCTGCTGTTTCTTCACACTTAAATATCATTGGGAATTCATATCATCATTGAGAAATCCAAAGTACACAGCATTAAAATCTTAGAAACTTAAATGAACACAGCAAAAGGTCCTCGAAAGCTAGCTAGGTGTTGCCATGAAAATGTCATCCAGTAAGATAAAACTCAATTCACAGTCATCAGAACCTCTTGGAAACATTGATATCTTTTGAAGCATCTGAAACTTGAACTCCAAATCAGTACCCGATGTCATAGAGATTGCAGGAGGCCAGGAGACTAGTTCAACGCTTTTCAGGACTGCGCCGTGCTTTAGGATATACCTTATCATTGCAACCTCGTCCTCTCGGCCTACCAATCCCTGGAATGAAAATTTTGATAGACTAGAAGACAAGCACTCAGGAACTTGGGTGGGATCCTTCCAACTTAACTGATGAGTGTCTTCATCACACTCACCGTCCATTGAAATTTTAAGGACTTGTAACACTATCGACCGTTCAAGCAAGACAGTAAGGCAGCTCCATTTGCAACAGTGAAGCTGAATATCCAAGTCCCTTAATTTCTCAAACCGAGATGACGATTTGACCAGGCGGTCAACTGCATAGCTCAGTGCATCCCCGGCTGTTCCCTTTAATGTCAGAGACTTCGCCTGGTTATGCAATTGAACTACGCCCGCAATCCCAGGGCAAATTCCGCTCTTACCATCTTTCGTGTAACAAAGTATCGCTTTGCCCTTAGGGTATGTCGATTTCAAAGAGATTTCAAGAGCAGGCGCATCAACTTCCAAATCAGGCCAGCAATTGGAGAAAAAGGCAATAAGGCTTCTCAATGAAAGGGAAGAGATCTTATAAACTGTTATGTTGTCTTCACGAATACAATCTAATACTAGATTTAGTAACACGGGACAACCAAATATAAGTCTGTGCAAAGACTCAGCCAATTCATATTTGACTCCAAAAAGTTTCAAGGTATTTAGTTTAGGAAAACAAACTTCCCTGCCTGAGACCTTAAGAACAAATAGCCCACATAAATGCAGTGATTCCAGTGTACCTGAAGTGAGAAGCTCGGCAGGTACCTCACAAACACAACCAGTTCCGATCTGAAGCGTAAGATTCCGAACATTACGATGAATTATGGCATGACGAACCCACATGTTAACATAAGCTACTTCAGATTCACCAGGGGACCATAAAAGTCGAAACTTTGCCAAGTACTTAACAACATTGTGAAGAAACACATTATTAACAAACTGCACAGAAGCCGTCTTACGATTACCTTCTGCTTCTGGGCCAGGCAACTCAAAATCAAAGGTGGGAACATTAATCCACAGAGATTTCCAGCGTTTGGATAGCAAGCTTGTTTTAACCGCATCTTTTGTTGAGAGACTGGAAAGGATTTTGACAATGGCCAATTCTGGTAAACTGTAAAATCTATCAACCGGAGACGATATCATTGAATTGAAGAAGCTATAATTTTGACGAGGAACGAGCAAGAGTTTTAGAGATCAAAGGGACTTTCCGTGCAATGCATGAAATTATGTGACGAGAAAATAATTATCTATATCTACAATATATTAAAGGAGAGTTTTAAATCGGACATGGCATAAATTTAGATAGGCTAATCCACGTGGCGAAAAATTAGATGCCCAAGTGCACATGTCGCACCCACATCACTCCATCATTTAATGATAATTTTTTATTTACAAATCTGTAAAATTTATAAATAATAACTAATTTTATCCGGTTAATACTCCATATTTATAACTAAAATATTAAATTAACTAGGAGTTAATCAGAACTTTAACGGATAAGCATTAGAGAAGAAAAAGAAATTGGATTAAGATTAAACTTTGTGTTTTAGTTCGTGATTCACTTAGAAGGGTAATTTATTTTGTGTTTATATGGGGCTATACTCATATACTAAGTTATAATCATGAAACTGTTGATGGTTTCTCTCGCTTGCTCATTTGTTATCTCTCCTATCCTCCAGCTAGAAGCCTACTGTATTTCGTTACTCTGCCACTTTTGGATTTTTTTTTTGTTTTTCCTCTCTCTTTTTTTTTTCCAAAAGAAATTAATTATATTTTAGAAATTATTCGAGTAATTTTTTGGACATTTTTTTTTTCGTATAATGATGTCCCTTGCCGAGCCAAATTTTCATGTAATTTTGTATAAAATTACAAAGCAAATTGCCACAACATTATAGAAAAACTGAGCCTAAAAATATTGGGTTTGTCATTAGTATCAATAATATGCATATCTTAATGAAAAACCCTAATTAAAAACATAAATGAAAAAACAAAAAAAAACCATAGGGGCATCAAATCAGATGAGAAAAAACTTATAATAAAATAATGTTGCCAAATAATATAACTTTTTGTTGCTGGATATGTATTAACTTAGTTATGTATTGATTACGTTTAAAATGTATACAAAAAGGTGAAAATTATGCAATTAAGAAAAAAAAGATGTAAATACTACATTATAGAAAAAAAAATCCGAATAAACTTCTAAGGAAACATTACACAAGGTATATAGAAAAACGGAAAACAAAGATAAGTTTATGAAAAAAATAATGACAAAACTTCCTGTTAGCGGGAGCATTTAAAAGATATGAAACGAATAGAAATATTTAAAGGGATCACTATAAAAAATTAGAAGAATACTTTTAAACGATATAAAAACCATGAATCAACAAAAAAAAAATGAACAATAAGTATCAATGGATGATTTCAAAAATTGAAAATTACTCCAAATGTACTTAAAATAACGAAACACATTGACATTAAAAATTACACAATTATAAGTTATATCATTATATATATATATACACACACACATATCACTCCATCAGAAATGTCACATAATCGTATATGTTAAAGCAGAGTTCTTAATCGACACGTGTCGCCTAGGGAGCAAGTTTAGCAAATTTTGCCATGTGTCGTCACCAAAATTCTCCTTCATTAAACAGTTAAACGTTTATTACTAATACGTAAAATTGTTAACTTGAATTAAGTAATTAACCAAAAGTTAATTTCAAAAAAGTAAATATCACGTGTTTGGTAATTATTGACAAATATATGGCATAATGAAACATTAATTATCAAATTAATAATTGTATTAAGAATACAGTTTGAAACTAAATTTGGATACATTAAACATAAGTTAATATTATTTTAGATGATTTTGTTTGATATATTTTTCAAAAATTAAAAAATATTAGTTAACAAAAAAAATTGTTACCAATAACTATATTACGAATACAATTCGAAACTAAATCTGCCTATATTAAACTTATGTTAATATTATTTCTTAGATGATTAGTATATTTTTCATAAATAAAATGAGGCTACTTACCAAAATAAAGAGATTATTTACCAAATAATTAAACGAATACAATTCAGAACTAAGTTTGATTACATTAAACATAGGTTAATAATATTTTTCTGATGATTCTATTTGATATATTTTCTAAAAATAAAGATATATTAGTTACCAAAAATAAAAAATATATTAGTTACCAAATAATTATACTAGGAATACAATTCAAAACTAAATCTGGATAAATTAAACATAGATTTATATTAATTTTCATATTATTTCATTTGATATATTTTCCAAAAATAAAAATAGATTAGTTACTAAATAATTATAACACAAATACAATTTGTAACCAAGTCTGTATATATGCAACATAGGTTAATATTATTTTACAGATGATTTCATTTAATATATTTTTCAAAAATAAAAAGAGATTAATTTAAAAAAATAAAATATGAAACCATTTAATACCAAGTCTAGATACATTAAATGTAGATTAATATAATTTCTTAAATGATTTTATTTGATACATGTCCAAAAATAAAAAGAGATTAATTAATTACCAAAAATAAAGAGATTAGTTACCAAATCATTATATTACGAATACAATTCAAAACTAAGTCTAGATACATTAAATGTATGTTAGTATTATTTTAGATAATTCCATTTGATCTCCATTTTATCTGATAGGAAATTTGCTTAGACAATTGCATAATATAGTGGACGAATTTAGCCTAAAGGAAAGCAAGATTTTTCTTGTGACTTAGAGACAAATTTTTTTTATTTAGCAAGTGTTGTTTTTCTTCTAGTATTTTATGCATTAGTATAGCCATTGTTGTTTATTCATTTGTAATAGAATTTCAACAGCTTCCACTTAGCAATAATGTTAATCCCAAAAAAATGAATACCAGCCTCTCTGGCCTCTGCCATTGCCTATTCAGCATTCTTTTACCGGCGCTGAATGGATTAAAGCATTTTAACCATTCTTACCATGCTAGCAACAAATACTAACGGATAAAAACATAACAAGGCGATGCCAGATAAATCATAAGGTTTTGATGTTTGTCAACCAGACGGTTCAATTTTCGCAATTTTCATCAGCAAACATTTTGGTAAGCTAGCAGCAATTCGACGTTATCTCTTACAGATGTTGCAGAAGTTAGTAATGCTTTGAGGTTCTCTTGGTAGGAACAGCCAGCAGTGGAGTTTGTTTCCTCAGGACAATTCCAAACTTCTCAGAAATGTCTTCCTCTTTGCTTTTGGTCGGTTTCCAATCAAATGAATGCAAGAGAGAAGCCAACATAAACTTGAGCATTTTCTCACCCAAGGGAATCCCTGGACATATTCTTCTCCCAGAACCAAATGGAATATACTGAAAATTATTACCACTGAAATCCCATTTTTTGGGTTCCATCAAAAACCTTTCCGGCTTGAACTTTAACGGATCATCCCAGAGCTCAGGATCTCTTTGTATTGCCCAGGAGTTGATAAGCACCTTAGTATTCTCCGGAATAGTGTATCCACCAACAATGCTGGATTTGGTCGGACGCCTTGGAAGCAGGAGAGGAACAGCAGGATGTAAGCGAAGAGTTTCCTTCACTACAGCTTCCAAATAATGCAGCTTTGGCAGATGAAACTCTTCAACAGATTTGCCAATGCCTACCACATCTTCCAATTCATTGTGAACCTTTTCCATGACTTCCCTTTGATGCAAAACTTCTGTCATTCCCCACTCCGTCAAGGTGGCTGTTGTATCTGTTCCTCCAACTATAGTGTCCTTCATTTTACATGAAAAAGTTTTGTTAGGAGAGAAGGCAGAGAGACAGATTAAGTAAAAGGAAATAGGTCTCATAATGGCAATTTTTAGCAGCTAAACGAGTTGACCAAAAATCCAGCGTAAAACTTTCTTTTGTATGAAAGCCAAGAATTTAAAAGGAAAAAGATTACCATTATGATGGCTTTTCTCTGCAACATGCTAATGTCTTCCCCTGTGGCTTCCAGCTTCTGAAGCTCAAGCAAGATTTGAATGAAGTCCTTTTTCCTTCCACCAATTTTTACTTCATCATCTTTTGTCTGAACTCTTTCATTAATCACTGCATCAAAAATACCATCAGCCACTTGTAAGAGAGTGTTGGCTTCTTTCTCAACTCCCTGGATATCAAACCTGCGAAGAATTGGGAAGACATCAGATATATTTGCCTTTCCTTGCAGATCCATTATTTTCCCAAACACAACCCTGAAATTAGCTGCTGCTGCTGCTTCACTTTGCGGGTTTGCTTCAACTGTTCCACCCCACAACATACTTAAAACTACATTGACTTGGGTTTGGAAAGCAAGTTCACCGATCTCTAGAGGTGTTCCAACCTTCATTCCAACATGTTCAATAGTCTTTATCACCTCATCTCTTCTCAGCTCATAACAGGCATCAAGGTTTCTTCCACTGAGGATCTCTTGCACAAATACTTTTCTCATATTACGCCAGTATGAGCCATAGGGAGACCAAGCAATGTCAAATCCACCATAAGTCAAAACTTCTGTTGCAATTGTGGCATCGCGGTTGGCAAAAACAACGTCTTGATCTCGTGTTATTTCTTTGACGAGAGAAGGAGAGCTCAGCACAACACAGAGTTTGTTGCCAAGCCTAAACTTGAAGATTGGACCATATTGTTGCGCCAATTCAGCGAACTGTGTGTGCAAGTTGGCACCCAGAAACGGGAGATATCCAACTAATGGCAAACCCCGTGGCCCTGGTGGCAAAGAACCTTTACTAGTCTTCTTGAAAATGACTACTAAGAACCAGAAGATGGACAGAATCAGGATTGAAATCGCAAGAACTGCTTGAGCAAGATTAATGTCCATCTTATGGAAACTATGGAGTAACATTGCGATAACGTGGTTCGCCATTCTTGCAGACCTACAAAGATTTAGCCGAGAGTTGACAAATCTTCGAAATGAAAGCTCAAACTGAAGAGATCACAAAGCGGATATGAGAGGAAGGAACTTAAGTCAACGAACTAATCTTGAAGCTGATATGTTTCCCACGTAGGAAAAAATATTAATCACTCAATATGATTATAATAACAGATTTAAAAATTAGATGATGCCATTTCCAAGACTTTTTCCTCATTGTTCGTGTCTGCATTGATGATGATGGTTTACTTGCCAGATTTCCATGTTACTTGATTTATATATAAAAAAAATAAAAAAAAATCGATAAAAAATAGTATAGAAATATTGCTAAGAAAGCTCGCAAACCCATAAGTTAATTATTGTTTTATTTTATTTTTTTCCTGCTGAAAGTCCATTTTTCCAAGAAAAGGCCTCGACTACACTATTACAGTCACAATTTCTGCCTTCAGATATAACCCTTGACATTTTGTACATGTGAATTAGCTAATCAGTTGCATTCCAGACGCGGCTATTCAAAGGGTTGCTGAAAGCACCAAACATAAAAGAAAAGGCGTAATACATCCTGTGCGATTTGTAAAAAATACTAAGACCAAAATAGTTAAGTAGAGAAACTAACCATCGATTCATGAAAAAGAAAAAATTGAAAAATGAACCACAATTTGTTAAATTTGTAAGCCTCTGAAGGGGTAAGAATCATCCTATATGTAGTTAGACAGTCAGTTAAGGGTTATTGACACAACTGAGAAACCCATTCGAATGAATTCGATTCAAAAAATAAGAGCTGAAATATCAGGACACAAATTAGCAGATAGTTGTTTCATTACACGACATCATGATTGAGATATGATAATTACTAGATGATAGCAGAACATAAAGGTTATGGTTCTTGATGTACATATGAACGCAACTGAAGCAAGAAAAATTATAGGTTTTGATCTTGTCAACAAGACAATTCATTTCAGCCAATGATGATGGTGCAGATTGCAGAACCTTTATTCTTGCTTTGGGGTTCTCTTGGTAGGAATAGCCAGCAATGGACTACGTTTCCTCAGGACAATTCCGAAATTCTCAGATAGGTCTTCCTATTTGCTTGTGGTCGGTTTCCAATCAAATGAATGGAATAGAGAAGCCAATATATAATTGAGCATTTTCTCAGCTAAGCGATTCCCTGCACACATTCTTCTCCCTGAACCAAACGGAATATACTGAAAATTGTTACCGCTGTAATCCCCATTTTTTGGTTCCATCAGAAACCTTTCAGGCTTGAAATGTAATGGATCATCCCATAGCTCAGAGTCTCTTTGTGTCGCCCGTTGACGAATATCTTAGTTTTCTCTGGAATAGTGTATCCACCTACAATGCTGGATTTTTCCGGATAAGCAGAGGAACAGCAGGATGTAAGCGCAAAGCTTCTTTCACTACAGCTTCCAAGTAATGCAATTTTGGCAGATGATACTCTTCAACAATGTTGTCTAACCCTACCACATCTTCCAATTCCTTTTGGACTTTCTCCAGGACTTCCTTATGCATTGTAGCTGTCGTATCTGTCCATCCAACCACGATGTCCTAATTTTGCATTGCAAAGAATCGTTAACAAAAGACAGGCAAAGGAAAATTAGTCTGTTAGTCTGCTCTGGTGTAAGATGATCTGACTGCTTTTAGACTAGATTTCAATGATTATGATCAATTGATCATCTCTGTGCTACTATTGATTGGCAGCTAAAATCACTGGAAGGAAACGTAATGAACGGCAGCATTCAACTGTTTTCCGCAAGGGATCTCAAAAATACAACTGCCAGGAAAAAAATAAAATAAAATTATTTACCAGTAAGATGGCTTTTCTCTGCAACATTGTAATCTCTTCGCCTGTATCTGGTAATCTCGAGTTCAAGGAGAATCTAAACAAAGTCCTTTTTGTTTCCACCAGTTTTCATTTCATCCTCACTCATCTTCAATCTTCCATTGATCACTGCATCAAAAATACTATCAGCTACTTGTAAAAGAGTGTTGGCTTCTTTCTCAACTCCCTGGAGATCAAACCTGCGGAGGATTGGGAAGAAGTCAGATATACTTGGCTTTCCTAAAACATCCAACATGTTCGCGAAGACCGCCCTGAAATCAGATCCTGCTTTGTCAGTTAGTTGATTTTGTTCAAGTGTCCCACCCCACAACATACTCAAAATCACATTGAGTTCTGTTTGGAAAGCCAGTTCATCAATCCTTACAGGACTTCCAACCCTCATTCTAACATATTCAATAGCCTTAATCACCTCATCTTTTATTAGATCGTAACAAGCATCAAGGTTGCTTCCACTTAGGATCTCCCGGACAAATACTTTTCTCATATTACCATTACGAGCCATAGGCAGTCCAAACGATGTCAAATCCTCCGTAAGTCAGAACTTCTGCAGCAATAGTAGGATCACGGTGAGCCAAAACGACGTCTTGATCCCGTGTTATCTCTTTATTTATACTTAACAAGAGTAATCAAACGTAATCATGCATAACGTTGCTCAAATTATTCGGAAGCAATTTATTATTTAATCATAGAGTAGAGAAGGTTGTTGTCACCCTTACTGACCAATTTAGATTTAGAGCAGAGTTGACAGATCATCGTAAGTTAATGATATGCTTTAAATTTACCTATTTTTAATATCCTTTTATGCGAGATTTTGCTACTATTTTGAATACATTTATGCTATTTATGTGATTTTATCTTTAATTGTAGGAATTGTACTCAATTGGAGGAATTGTTGAAATTTTGAACTAAAATGAAGATAAAAGCAACTCAAAGGGAGAATTGAAGATTTGACAAATTGACAATGAAGAAATTGAAATACTTGAAAAATTAGAGGATTAAACAAGCAATTTTAGAATTCTTGATTATGGAAAATTGGCTGAACAACGATGATGATGCGGTTGATTTGGGATTGAAATTGGGTAAGAATTTTAATCCCAATATTATTTGGGAAACAAGTTTTCTTCCTCTCCAAAAAGTAAGGTTTTGATGGAAGCCTATAAAAAGAGGATTAGGGATTTATTTTTAGGACCGAACTTGATCAAAAAAAAACCCTACGTCTTTCCTCCTCCACCCGACCAGCCACCTATCCTCCATCTCTCCCTTTTGTTCATCATCATCACCATCACCGCCACTCTGCGAAGCCTCCACCACCTTGCTTCTCTTTCCGCCGCTCCACCTCAAACCAGCAGCCCCAACCTTCTCTTCACCACTTCAAACCGGCAGCCCCCTCTCTCCACCTTCATCCACCACCTTGCTTCCCTCCATCTCCACGCACCACCTCTACCTCACCACCGTAGCAACCACACCACCATCATCTCACCTTAATCATCAACCCATCACCGCCATCACCATCTTGCTCTCTTCCCCACCAAATAAACCCGGCAGCATCATCCAGCCCACCTGGCAGCTTTCTCCATCACCACCACGCAGCAGCATCAACAAAACCATCATTTCCTTCGCCATCACCTCTCCATTACCTTGCGCATCAATTCAAATAAAACCGGCAGCAGCCTCCTTGAGCTTCTTGCAGCCGAGAGAAATAGAGGTGTCCAAATCCGAAGCAAGCAGTAGCCGAGGAGCTTTTCGGCGGCTCTTGCCTTCATCCGGGTGTTTTTGGTGTTTTAATTATTTTAATTTTAGACTTTAGGATTATGTCTCTAAATATTATTGAATTATTTTTAATAATATTTAGTGGCTAAATTCTTTTAACCCTAGGGCTTGGGTGTAGCCACCGATTTGATTTTTCCATTGATCAATATTTGATATTCTTGCTTTTATTCCATGTTTGTAACTGGCCACTACTTGCATGTTTAAAAATATTAATTGATGAAACGACAGTCAAAAATTAATATTAGTTCATGGGAATATTGGACTTAGGTAGTGAGCCACGACAGTAGGAACACAACCTTTGCAACGTTAGATTCTTAAGTTTTTAATGTGCTCTAGTTATTTCCTATAGTTACGACAGTAGTCATAGGATTAATTAGAGTAAGAGAATTATATCACGACGGTGAATAGTTCTTAATTAGGTGAATCGTTGTGAGATTAATGGAAGTTAAAAGTCAGTTATTTATGAATTGAACCAAACCAAATATTCGGTATGTGAACCCAATGTCCTAGGTTTTCCTTGTCTGATTATTTGAATTAATATTATTTGCTTTTATTTTATTTATTTATTTTAGTTTTAAATTTTAAAAATATGAGATCATCATTTATCTAGATAATAATAGGAGTAATTTATACCTGGTAATTAGTATTCATTCTCTGTGGGATCGACCCTGCTTGCTACTTTACTACTAGTAATTGTATTAAGTAGGTAATTATTATTTGACTAGTGTGACGACGGCTTGTCAAATTTGGCGTCGTTGCCGGGGAAGGCAGCTAATATCTAACTTAAATTACTTTCTTTTATTAGTTTAGATTTGTTTTTAATTTATTTATTTTATTTTCTTGCTATTTTAGTTATTCCTTTCAAATATTTTTGTCTTAGTTTTATATGCGAAGTGCTAATCCTGAGACTTTGCAATTTGATCCAGAGATAGAAAGAACAGCTCGTGCAAATAGAAAAGAAGCAAGACTAAGAAAGGAGAAGAATCAGAGTGAAATCATGGGCGATAGAGTAAACACTCGGACACTGAGGGATTACTTCACACCTACGGAGAATGTTGCTAGGTCAAGTATTACTAGACGTACCATTGCTGTGAATACCTTTGAGCTCAAGCCAGCATTGATCCAGATGGTGCAGCAGAATCAATTCTCCGGTTTTAACAATGAGGATCCAAATGCGCATATTGACAACTTTTTAGAAATCTGTGATACTATTAAAATAAATGGTGTGACGTCAGATGAAATCCGGTTGAGACTTTTCCCTTTTTCATTGAGGGGAGAAGTGAAGAATTGGTTGAATACTTGCGATCCTGGTTCCATCACAACTTGGGATAAGCTTACAAGGAATTCCTGATCAATTTCTTCCCACCAGATAAGGCAGCGAAATTGAGAAATCAAATTACTGGGTTTATTCAAGAAGATGATGAGACATTTCATGTTGCATGGACAAGATTTAAGGAATTGCAAAGAAGATATCCTCACCATGGTATTGACAAAAGTACTCTTGTTCAGACTTTCTATCAAGGATTGACAGACTTTGCAAGAAACAATGTGGATGCTGCAGCTGGAGGTTCATTAATGGATAAGTCAATTGATGATGCCTATGAATTGTTTCAACCATGGCAAAGAATAGGAATCAATGGTCGAACTCAAGAAGTGTTTCCAAGAAGCCTGCTGGAATGTATGAAGTCAATAAACTAAGTGCCATGAACGCAAAGATAGATGCACTGACTAAGGCGATGGGTAATCTTGTAACTGCTAATGCAGTCTTCCATGCCACTGTCTGTGAGTTTTGTGGAGGTCCTCATTTGAGCTCTGAATGTATGCGACTGGCAAGTGCACAATATGTCTCTAATTTCAGCAAGTCTCAGCAGCAGAACAATCCTTACTCCAACACATACGATCCTGGGTGGCGAAATCATCCAAACTTTTCTTGGAATAATCAAGGGGCTCAAGACTTTAATGCAAGACCTCAAAACCCTCCTGGTTTCCAAGCAAAGTCATACCAATCTGCACCTAAGTCAGCAACGGAGACAAGTTTGGAGAGAATGGAGAAATTGTTGAGTGAAAATAATGAGCGGTCTAACAGAGTAGAAGTAAGGTTAGATCAATTGAGTACTACTCATAGAACCTTGGAGATGCAAGTGAGTCAAATAGCCTCCGTCATGAATACTCGTGGGCAAGGTCAACTGCTAAGCAAGTCTGAAATCAACCCCCGTGAAAATTGTAGTGCTATCATGTTGAGAAGTGGGAAGCAGTTGGGTGACAAGGAGGAATCAAAGACCACTAAAGTGAATGTGACCACTGATGAAAAGAAAAAAGAGAGTAAAGAGAGTGATGAAGAAAAAGTGGAGAAAGTGGAACAAGAGGAAGAAAAGATATATGTGCCACCACCGCTTAAACCTTATGTTCCACCAGTGCCTTTTCTGCAGAGACTCCATATGACCAAGCAAGATAAGGTATTTGAGAAATTTCTGAAAATTTTTAGGCAATTGCATATTAACATTCCTTTTACAGATGCTTTAGCTCAGATTCCTGCTTATGGTAAGTTCTTGAAGGAGATCATCTCCAACCGAAGGAAAGTGGAAGACTTTGAGACAATTGCATTATCTGAGGAGTGTAGTGCTGTCATTCAGAGAAAGTTGCCTCCAAATTGAGTGGTCCAGGGAGTTTCTCTATTCCTATCTCTATGGGTGATGTTTGTTTTGATAAAACTTTATGTGATTTAGGTGCTAATGTTTCATTGATGCCTTTATCTGTTTGTAGAAAGCTTGGGTTGAAACATTTGAAACCAACAAACATCAATTTGCAATTACCTGATAGATCCATAACCCATCTAAAAGGGATTTTGGAAAATGTGCTGGTAAAAGTGAAGAAATTTTATATCCTTGTTGATTTTGTTGTGTTAGATATGGAAGAAGATGCTAATGTGCAAATTATTTTAGGTCGACCATTTCTAGCCACAGCTAGTGCTGTTATAGATGTTAAAAAAGGGAGTTTAAAATTTCATATTGGAGAAGAATCTGTGGAGTTCACTTTTTCTGAAAATTACAAATGCCCTGCATTTACTCATCATGTGTTTAGGGTAGATATTCTTGATGAGCTAGATAAAACTGATGTTTTCATTACTAATTCTAAAGATCCTCCTGACATATGTATCAGTGATGCAGGCACAGATAGAAATGGAAGAAGAATAATGTATGAAAGAGTTTCACACTCTTTGATTGAGTGTCCACCTGATTGATTAACCAAATAGTCCGGCTCATGACTTTAAAGAAGCGCTTATTGGGAGGCAACCCGATTCCTTATTTTGCTTTATTTTTCTTTTTCTTTCATTAATAAGTTGATGGTTAAGTTTTTTGTTCCTGATTATCTGGAGATCTTTGATTTCTAGATTTTCGTAGTTTTTCTTAATCATCTATTTTTTTAGGTTTGTTTTCTAATTTATTTTAGTTTGCAATTAGGTTTGTTGGAAGGGTGAAACTCTGGTGTCCAATGGTGCTGAAAATGAAACATCCAAAAGTCTGAAGAAGTTGGTCGTGTGTTTGAATGGCAGTTGCAACAATTTATTCAACAATTTCGGTCCTCTGTTTTACATTTCCAAGGTTGTGTCATTTCTTTTCATTCTTTTTGTTTATGTCTTTTCTTTTATTTTCACTTAGTTGTCTTGTCTTTTATGTTTTATACATTGAGGGCAATGTATGCTTTAAGTGTGGGAGAGAGGAATATTTGTGTTTTGTGTTTATCTTTCTTAAAAAAAAAACCAATAAATATTAAAAAGATTGAAAAATCCAAAAAGGCCTATGATGAAGATGGTTTAATTATCTATAACATGTAAGAATTAGATTATTTTGAATTGTATTGCTTAACTTATGTATTTCTATATTACTTTGAATACCTTGCTTTTTATGCACTTAGTCGTGACTATGGGATAAGCCTAAAGTGAGATATAGTTGCATAAGTTTGATGTAGATATGCCATGAAAAGTGGTGTTTGATTCATTCATACTTATATGATTTGTATGTGGAACCCATCATGTTGTGAAGGAAAAGCAAGGCATTAACCCAATATCAATCTTAAAAAACCTTATTGCTTTGACACTTTGTGTTAAGTAACTTTGGGGGAGGGGTGTTGGCGGATGCTTCTGAGGTTAGGTTAATTTTAATGAGGGAGAAAAGGAAGAGCATTCAATGTCGATGCTAGCCCATTGAGAGGTGAGGAATTGGCAACCTGAGCGGAGAGTCCTCAGGCCCGCTGAGAAAAAATAGATATATAGACTGCCCTAAGTTGCTGAGCCACTATGTATAGGAGTGGAAAAATGCTCTGGGTAGTGGCCTGAGTTGGAAAGAGTCCTGAAGAAAAGCCGCATGGACCGAAGAATGGGTTACGAGGGGGAATAGGTTGTCTGTGAGATAAGTCCTTCTACTTCATAGTATGTTTGGCGGTCCATTGCATTGAATTATGGTATAAAATGTGAATCTGTGTTAAAGTCTTAATATATGGCATATTTGCAGTAGTGCTTTTATTTTCTATCTTGAATGTAAAGTGATGTCCCTGAGAAACGAATCGTACACACACAAGCGTGGGGGCTAAAAGTAGCTATGGTTTGCATTGTTAGGTAGTCCATACTAGAGGTAGTTGAAGTCTTTGTGTTGTATGATGTTAAATCTCTGAGGCCGCCTAATTAAATAATTTAATGTTTTTGTTTGCTTTAATTTTTGGGAATGCTTGAGAACAAGCAATATTTCAAGTTTGGGGTATTTGATATGCTTTAAATTTACCTATTTTTAATATTCTTTTATGCGAGATTTTGCTACTATTTTGAATACATTTATACTATTTATGTGATTTTATCTTTAATTGTAGGAATTATACTCAATTGGAGGAATTGTTGAAATTTTAGGCAAAAATGAAGATAAAAGTAACTCAAAGGGAGAATTGAAGATTTGATAAATTGACAAGGAAGAAATTAAAATATTTGAAAAATTAGAGGATTAAACAAGTAATTTTAAAATTCTTGATTATGGAAAATTGGCCGAACAACGATGATGATGCGGTTGATTTGGGACTGGAATTGGGTAAGAATTTTAATCCCAATATTATTTGAGAAACAAGTTTTCTTCCTCTCCAAGAAGTAGGGTTTTGACGGAAGCCTATAAAAGGAGGATTAGGGATTTATTTTTAAGGCCGAAATTGACCGAAAAAAAACCCTACGTCTTTCCTCCTCCGCCGACCAACCACCTATCCTCCATCTCTCCCTTTCTTCATCATCATCACCATCACCGCCACTCTGCGAAGCCTCCACCACCTTGCTTCTCCTTCCGCCGCGCCACCTCAAACCAACAGCCCCAACCTTCTCTTCACCACTTCAAACCGGCAGCCCCCTCTCTCTACTTTCATCCACCACCTTGCTTCCCTCCATCTCCACGCACCACCTCTGCCTCACCACCACAGCAACCACACTACCATCATCTCACCTTAATCATTAACCCATCACCGCCATCACCATCTTGCTCTCTTCCCCACCAAATAAAACCGGCAGCATCATCCAATCCACCTAGCATCTTTCTCCATCACCACCACGTAGCAGCATCAACAAAACCATCATTTCCTTCGCCATCACCTCTCCATTATCTTCCGCATCAATTCAAATAAAACCGGCAGCAGCCTCCTTGAGCTTCTTGCAGCCGAGAGAAACAGAGGTGTCCAAATTCGAAGCAAGCAGCAGCCGGGGAGCTTTTCGGCGACTCTTGCCTTCATCCGGGTGTTTTTGGTGTTTTAACTATTTTAATTTCAGATTTTAGGATTATGTCTCTAAATTATTATTGAATTATTTTTAATAATGTTTAGTGGCTAAATTCTTTTAACCCTAGGGCTTGGGTGTAGCCACCGAATTTATTTGGTTTATTTGGTTCATTATTATTTGATTTTCCATTGATCAATATTTGGTATTCTTGCTTTTATTCAATGTTTGTAACTGGCCACTACTTGCATGTTTAAAAATATTAATTGATGAAACGACAGTCGAAAATTAATATTAGTTCATGGGAATATTGGACTTAGGTAGTGAACCACGACAGTAGGAACAATCTTTGCAACGTTTGATTCTTAAGTTTTTATTGTGCTCTAGTTATTTCCTATAGTCACGACAGTAGTCATAGGATTAATTAGAGTAAGAGAATTATATCACGACGGTGAATAGTTCTTAATTAGGTGAATCGTTGTGAGATTAATGGAAGTTAAAAGTTAGATATTTATGAATTGAACCAAACCAAATATTCAGTAGGTGAACCCAATGTCCTAGGTTTTTCTTATCTGATTATTTGAATTAATATTATTTGCTTTTATTTTATTTATTTATTTTAATTTTAAATTTTATAAATCTGAGATCATCATTTATCTAGATAATAATAAGAGTAATTTATACCTGGTAATTAGTATTCCTTCTCTGTGGGATCGACCCTGCTTGTTACTTTACTACTAATAATTGTATTAAGTAGGTAATTATTATTTGACTAGTGTGACGACGGCTTGTCAGTTAAAGTCTAATGGAAGTGATCACAAAAGAATGTAATACTAAGATAAGTCAGATGATGCCATTTCCAAAAGGCAGTATTGAGAAATCAAATCCTTCCTTTAAAACAATTAAGTGCAATACCCATTGATCGTATCACCGTACTAAACGTATGGTGTATTCGGTATTTTTGACAGTAATAGTAATAACAAAACACAAAAGTATGTCAGTACTGAAACTTGCAGATAGCTGTATTACTAAATACATGACAAACAGAAAAGTTTTGGTTTGGGCATACATATGATAGCTGATGAATTATTAACAAAATGATAGGTTTAGATGTTATCAACAAGACGATTCATTTCACTCAGTATTCATCATCGGGGCATACTTTAGTAAAAAATCGCAACTAGCAGTAATTCGACGTGGACTCTTACAGATGATGCAGAACTTTTAGTATTGTTTTCGGGTTCTCTTCGTAGGAATGGCCAACAATGGAATACGTTTCCTCAGGACAAAATCAAACTTCTCAGAAAGGTCTTCCACTTTGCTTGTGGTTGGTTTCCAATCGAATGAATGGAAGAGAGAAGCCAAAATATACTTGACCATTTTCTCAGCTAAGGGAATCCCTGCACACATCCTTCTCCCTGATCCAAATGGAATATACTGAAAATTGTTACCATTGTAATCCCCATTTTTCGATTCCATCAGAAACCTTTCGGGCTTGAACTGTAACGGATCATCCCAGAGTTCAGGATCTCTTTGTATCGCCCAGGCATTGACAAACACTGAGGTATTCTCCGGAACAGTGTATCCACCTACAATGCTGGATTTGCTCGGGCGCCTTGGGACGAGCAGAGGTATAGCAGGATGTAACCGCAAAGCTTCTTTGACTACAGCTTCCAAGTAATGGAGTTTTGGCAGATGGAACTCTTCAACAATGTTGCCTAACCCTATCACATCGTCCAGTTCCTTTTGGACCTTTTCCATGGCTTCCCTGTTGTGTAGAACTTCCGCCATCGCCCACTCTATCATTGTAGCTGTCGTGTCTGTCCCTCCAACCACAATGTCCTTCATTTCACATTAGAAAGGATTGTTAACCCAAAAAAGAAAAAAACAAAACCGCTTTAGACTAGGATTCCCTGACTGTTTTAGACTTAACTTTACAAAATTACAATATACATCTTTGTAGATTAGCAGTTAAATGACAGGAAACAGAACAAATGGCAACATAATTAACAGTTTGTGTTGGCTTTCAGAAGCACAACTTCTAGGAAAGAAATGAAATAACTTACCATTAAGATGGCTTTTCTCTGCAACATGGTAATGTCTTCCCCTGTATCTGGTAACTTCTTCAGCTCAAGGAGGATTTGAAGAAAATCCTTTTTGATACCATCAGTTTTTATTGAGTCCTCTGCCATCTTCACTCTTTCATTGATCACTGCATCGACTATACTGTCGGCTACCTGTAAAAGAGCGTGGGCTTCTTTCGCGACTCCCTGGATATCAAACCAGCGGAGGATTGGGAAGAAATCAGATATATTAGGCTTTCCTAATATGTTCACTATTTTTGCAAACACCACCCTGAAATCAGCTACTGCTTTTTCACTTTTCTGGTTTGCTTCATGTGTACCACCCCACAGCATTCTCAAAATCACATTGAGTTCTGTTTGGAAAGCCAGTTCATCAATTCTCACAGGCTTCCCAACATTCATCCCAACATATTCAATAGCCTTTATGACCTCATCTTTCCTAAGATCATAACAAGCATCAAGGTTGCTTCCACTTAAGATCTCCCGCACGAAAACTTTCCGCATGTTACGCCAGTAAGAGCCATAGGCAGTCCAAGCAATGTCATATCCTCCAAATGTCAGAACTTCTGCAGCAACCGTGGCATCGCGGTTAGCAAAGACGACGTCTTGGTCCCGGGTTATCTCTTTAACCAGAGAAGGTGAACTCAGGACAACACAAAGTTTGTTTCCAAGCCGGAACTTGAAGATTGGACCGTACTTCTGAGCCAATTCAGCGAACTGGGTAGGCATATTGGCCTTCAGAAATGGCAAGTATCCAACAATTGGCAAGCCCCATGGCCCTGGTGGGAAAGAACGCTTTTTAGTCTTCTTGAATATGGTTACTAAGAACCAGAAGGAGGAAATTATCAGGATTGAAATCAGAAGAGCTGCTTGAGCAACATTGCTCATCTTATACAACCTAGGGATAGATGTTTGAATTGAGTTCATGATCAAATCGAACACCATTCCTGCTGACCAATAATATTATCAACAATTTGGCAGCTCAAGAATTGAGTTGAGAGTGGATAGATCTTTGAAGTTAAATACGGAACGGAAGAGAAACAGAAGATACAAGAAGACAGAAAGTTTAAGTCAAACGAACTAATCAAGAAACTGATTTTTTTTCCCTATATAGAACGAAATTACTTACTATATTTTCAGCTCAGAAAAATCTAGTAACAGAGACGTATGGAATTCTCACTGTTCCTTTCATCAGATCTGATTGTGCCATTATCAAGACGTTTCTTCATTGTCTTTGTTCGTTGTATTGGTTCATAGTTGACTTGGAAGATATTTATGTCCATTCAAACATAAAAATATCAGTTACGTTGAAATTTGAACAGAGAAAAAGTGAGGCGCCCACATTTGTGTTTTTGGAAATTTAAGAAAATTCAGACTCAAACTTTTACTCTGATATCATGTCAAAACTCAAAAGGTTTCCATTTCTATCCCAAAACCGCCGACAACGGAAGTGGTCTAAATATCGAAATGTGTGGCTTAATTTATATCTCTAAATTTTCCATTCGAGAAAGTGATATATTCATATTTAACAGGAGCAACTTTAGCATTCATGGGATGGAAACGTATTTCGTGTCCTTCCTCATACTATTAGGAATCAAATTCTTATTTAATACAAGCATGTGTAGTAGTAAATCAGGAAGTTTTAGAGATTGTCACCAGTACAATTTTAGAAATGCTGTTCCAATTTGGCAAATCACAAACTCATGAATCATGATTCCTGAACTATTAAGTGTGAACTATCAGAATTCAATTTGAACTCGTGGAGAAATACTTCAAAAAGAGGTAGACAATCATCTGTAGAACTTGACTTTGATGCACGTGTACATGCTCACGTTGCAGATTTTTTTGTACAGGATGTGAAACCACTTCATCTCTTGCCTCCAAACACTCATCCCGGTTAAAGCATAAATATCAAACTAAGATAATCCCTCCGTCCCGAAATTTGGAATTTCATTTCTAGTACAAATTGTACTGAAAGTAAAAATCAAAACTGGACAATCATTTCGGACAAAGGGAGTAAATGTGTAAATGTTTCATATAAATAGGACTGGAGTCTGGATGGAGCATCATTTAGGTGTTAGGGAACCAAGGGGCATTCAACTTCTAAGTACGTTAAGTTAATCAGTACTGACACCACTATACTTATTGAAGAGGCGAAGATAATCATCAAAAATATGTGAAAAGATTGTAATGTTAATCATAATTTGTAGTCTCTAGGAAATAAGAGCCGGATGAAAATCCGCACGAAACACAGAAAGAGCTTAATATGAAATCTCAAACATCCCATCTGCTCTGAATTATGATATATATATATATATATATGCTGGTTTCATTGTAGTCTTCTAGCTCTCAAACTCATAAAATGCTGAACCATTCAACCTTGGAGTCGGAATTGCAATCAACGGTGACTTCTTCTTCAAAACAATTCCAAACTTCTCAGCAACTTCGAGTTTCGCTCCAACAGGCAATTCCCAGTTGAAAGAATGCAACAATGAAGCCAGGGAGAACAAAACCATCCTCTCACCCATTGCCATTCCTGCGCACATTCTTCTTCCAGACCCAAATGGAATATAGTTATAATCATTCCCACTGTAATCCCCTTTTCCATTCAAGAACCTTTCAGGACGGAATTCCGAAGGGTCCTCCCAAATCGAAGGATCCCTATGAATTGCCCACACATTGACGAATACTTGAGCACCCTTTGGCACCCTGTAATTGCTTACAGTGGTGGTTTGGCTGGGACAATGATTTACCATTAATGGAAGTGCAGGGTGGAGGCGCAGGGCTTCTTTCATTACTGCATGAAGGTAAGGCAGTTTCTGAATGTGAGACTCTTCTACTACATTGCCTTCTCCAACTACACTGTCCAATTCTTGCTGTGCTTTCTTCATGATCTCTGGCTTGTTCATCATCTCTGCCATGGTGAATTCAACCGTGTTTGATGTCGTTTCCGTCCCTCCCACCACCATATCCTGTTAAGATGTAACATAGGATCACAATACTTCCGATGGTCAAGGTGATTAGAGAATTAACAATTGATTTCTTCCACAAAACATGTACTCCCTCCATCCAAAATTATTATGCTGTTTGGATTTTCATTTTTAGTTCAAATCGTACTAATATTGAAAATAAAAACTGGACAATAATTTCGGGAGAGAGGGAGTATATATTATGTTGTATCATAAATTGTCATCCTTATCTGGGGTATTCCAAGTGGAGGAAACAGGAAACTTACCACAAGCATGGACTTAACATGATCCATGGTTAATGGCGTTTTGGCATCTGCCTGAGCTTTAAGCTGCAAAAGAACCTGAAGGAAGTCTTTGCTCTGATTATTACCATCACCACCTTTCTGTGTGTGTTTCTGCCCATCCATCCGTGTCCTTTGATCAATTATCCTCTGAAAAATTTCTTCAAGTCTGGAGATGACTATTTTCATCTCTTTCTTTGCACCCTGCAAATCCAAAAAAGCCAACCACGGAAAGAAATCCGAAACATTAGGCATCCCTAATAGCTTTGTCACTTCTCCAACAACTTGCTTGAACTCTGCTCCAATGGCAGCCCTTTCTTTCCCCTGAATTGTACCGCCCCATAACATACTTGTAATCACATTCAGCACAGTCAAGAACATCTGTTCGCCGACATCCACCGGAGATCCTCGCCGATCATAGAAGTACTTCACGGTATTCCTGATTTCCTGTCTCCTGTATGAATAAACTGCATCAAGATTAGCATGGCCAAGCATATCCCTTACACAAACCTTCCTCAGCATTCTCCATTCAGGGCCGTATGGCGTAAAAACTATGTCGTGTCCGCCGTAATCCATCGCCGTGATCACAACCGGCGGGTCACGGTTTGCAAAGATTGTATCTTGATCCTTCAGGACTTCCCGGGCTATGGCCGGAGAAGAAATGACGACGGCGACCTTCCCACCGAGCCTGAGGGAGAAGATGGGACCGTATTTCCGGGCCAGATTAGCAAAGTAGGAGTGGAGTTCAGGATCAATAAATGGGAGACTTCCTACCAGGGGTAAACCCGGTGGACCTGGTGGCAATGGTTTTTCACCCCTGGCCAATTTTATAAGTTTCGGTATTACCCATGTTGATACAAGAACGAATACAATTGTTGAAATAACAAGATAATGATCATGGTAATCGGAATCAATGGATTTGAATTGTAACGATGAGATGATATTGCTGAAGAACTGGTTTAGTTTTTGGAACAGGGGAATTGGATTCATACCCCTTTTTTTTTTTCCTTCTTTAATCTATCTTAAGGAGAAAATAAACAGTGTAGATCAAAGTACATCTGGTGTTTTAAAAGAGAGAAAAAGATTCATTGGACTGAAGTCATCAATGTTGTTGAAGAAGAGTTAAAATTGGTCAATAATTAAGAATTGGTAAAAGAGGATCGTTAGGTGGTTTCCAGAAGAATGATTCTCGTTTGCAAGATTTGGTTTTTAGCAGATGAACGTTATGTATAATGAGGACAGAGACGACTGGCTGTTAGCATGCAGCATCACTTCAAAGACAACAAAGGAATTTTATCCTCAACAGATTGATCACTCATTTTATGTTTTTGTTTTTTTCTTTATGTACAAAACCAGAGTTGGTCCAGTTCGTTTATTTAATATTCATATAATATCTATCGCATTGAAAATATCAGATACCCCTTGCGTCTCAATATGACCGTCCACTAAGGAAGTAATAATAATAAAATATACTAGAACTTTGGACTTTCATGTATGAGGGGCCCCCCAAAAAAAAAAAAAAAAACTCACGTATAATTCTAGGCCTGTGTAGAAGAAGAAGACCTCTACCGTACAAGAAGGGGAAGCTGCCATTTTCTCCAAAATCAGATACTGACCAATTCTGGAATTGTGTCGCCGGCTTTATAGTGGAACTCCGATAGGGTTTCCTGCAAAATAGAGACTCGGGGTCTCTCGAGGGTAAACACCCTAATACTTAAGTAAAAAAATAGAGTTAAGGAGATATTTATATTATGCAAATTGATGCTAGAAATAGCGTACCGTCATTATGGAATAATCATCCTTATTTATAGGTTTAGAAGATCTCTGAGTCCTACCAGATATGGTGTTACTTAACCGCCTTAGCAGAGTGGGTTGGATCTTTTACTCGGCAGATGGACTGGTCCAATCTCGGTGGTGGATATGGACTCGTCGGATACACGACAATATTTATCTGTGTTATTTGGACCTCCTTCTACAGTCGAAGTTAGGACTAAATGGCTTTTATTATTATCAACCTTTCGTATATTCAAGATGAAGGAAATGGAAAATTGGACACTCTCATGGTGGAATCCGCCTCGAAATCAGATGGAATTAAATTGAGCATAAGGACTTCAAGTCGACAAAAATATAATCCAAGTTTTGCACCATTACAATATAATTGTGTGACAATCAGGCGGCTTTGTTTATCTCATTCAAGATCAATTATTAAGCTTCAAATTAAGTGATTGACCAGACCATTTATCTCTGAACTTGGCTGCTATCTTTTCTTTTTCATCGTATCAAAATTGACATATTAGCATCTCGAAAACAGTCAAGATTTCAAGTTTGGGTTCCAAAATAAACTTGAATGAAATTACATCCGTTTTACCAAGACATTCCTTCAACTGTGTTAGTTTTACTCATCATACAGAGATACATTTGATAATCTTGGGGTTGGAATGGCAACCAAAGCATTTCTCTTCTTCAACACAATACCAAACTTCTCTTCCACATCCAAAGTTTCTCCATCAGGCACCTTCCAGTCAAACGAATGAATCAACGAAGCCAGCGAAAACATGAACATCCTCTCCGCCATTGCTGTTCCAGCGCAGATTCTTCTGCCCGAACCAAACGGGAAATAATTGAAATCATTTCCACTGTAATCCAGTTTGTCATTCAAGAATCTCTCAGGACGAAACTCCAACGGGTTCTCCCAAATGGAAGGATCCCTGTGTACCGCCCAAACGTTTACAAAAACCCGAGCGCCTTTTGGGATTGTGTATCCTCCAACAATGCAGGATTCACTTGGGCAGTGAGGGACTAAAAGGGGAAGTGCAGGATGAAGCCTCAGTGTTTCTTTCATAACAGCGTATAAGTATGGTAATTTGTGAATGTCGGATTCTTCTACGATTCTATCTTTGCCCACAACTGTTTCGAGTTCTTGCTGAACTTTGGTTAAGGTTTCAGAGTTGTGCATCATCTCTGCCATTGCGAATTCGACTGTGTTTGAGGTTGTCTCAGTTCCACCCACTACCATATCCTGTACCCATTATTATTGGTGGACAGAAAAGATGGTCAAAAACCAATAATTCACTTATTTGGCAGTGGCCCATGATTCATTTTGATAACATTTTATAAAAAATTCAATGACTAAGACCTGTATGTGGTAGAATCATATTATCAAATAAATAAAATCTATAAATAATTATTTTGAGATAAAAGAGTAGAGAAAAATCGAGCATATGTTGAAGAACCAACAACAAGGTCCTTTGTTACGAGTCACATTCCATTTCAAGCAACAATTTCAATTTAGGCTGCTACATAATGCATTTTGGAACAAGAAGTAGTAAAAAATGGAACATATGTTAGAAGAACCAATAACAATGTCCTTTATTGCACAGTAGTTATACGTTCAATTTCAATTTAGGCTGCTAGTTGCGTCTTTTCTGTTTCTTTTCTTCTTGCTTGGATATTATTAGAGTCAAGCCAAAACATTGTTAACCAGGTTCACAACGGAAGACAGATCCAAGCATAATATGCCAAAAAGCATATGTAGAACGACTAAAACAGGAGAATGAAGTGGGAAAAAAAAACATGTGATTGGATTAGGAGAAAATATAATCTAATATACAAGCAGTGAAGCAGAAGCATAGATCAAATTTAGGTCATGATTCATGTGGGTAATTTAGCTCTTTTTTTGGGTCTGGCTCCTGTTAAGAACTTAAAATATTGAAACTAAGTGATAAAAAAAAAAAAAAAAAAAAAAGAATGGACAAGATAGAGTGGACTAACCATGAGTAAGGCCTTGATATGAGTCAGGGTAAATTGAGTTTTCCCATCTCCTTCATCTTTCAACTTGAGCAGGAACTGCAGGAAATCCTTGCTTTCTTTAACATCACCACCAACTTCCTTCATCCTCTGCTCGATCAGCCTCTCAAATATCTTATCAAACTTCCCCGTTAACATCTTGGTCTTTTTCTGAATTCCTTGCAGATCAAATCTCGCCAAACCAGGGTAAAAATCCGATACATTAGGCATCCCTAAACATTGAGTAATCTCATTAATTACATGCCTGAATTCTGCACCAAGACTCGACCTTTCGTCTCCCTTTACCGTGCCTCCCCACAGCATATTGGTAATAACATTTAGAACCGTTAAAAACATCTGTTCTCCGATATTAACCGGCTTCCCGGACTGGCTGTAGAAGTAATTAATCGTCTGCCGGAGCTCCCTCCGCCTCAGGGCATAAACAGAGTCTAAAGTAGCATTGCTAAGCATTTCCCTCACGCAAACTCTTCTCAACATCCTCCATTCCGGGCCGTATGGATTCCAAACAATGTCAGCGCCACCGTAGGTGGCTTCCCGGCCAGCAGCCGGAACATCCCGGTTGGCAAAAATCGTGTCTTGATCCTTGAGCACCTCCTTAGTAAGTGAAGGAGAACTAATCACAATCCCAACTTTTTTACCAAGCCAGAGAGTTAGGATTGGACCATAAGATTTGGATAGGTTTGTAAAATAGGTATGAAGCTCGGGATCAAGTGACAGCAGATTTCCAACAAGGGGCAAAGCTTTAGGACCTGGTGGCAATGGTGGCATCCCTTTGGTTGACTTCCTCGTAAAAATGACAGCAAACCAGATTAAGGCAAGCCCACAAAGAGCATAAGAAAACAGATCAGGATTGCTGATGCCATTTGAGATGGTGTTGAGTGAAAGATGGAAAATCATGTTTTACAGTGCAAATAGGGCAATGTTCCAGGGGAGGAAGAAACTATAAAAACAGAGGAACTGCTGATTTTTTTTGACTTAGAAAAGTTTCATCTTCCTTTGTTGCTGAAATGCGATATTTTCAATACCCAATATTTCGTACAGTATATGATGATGGCACCTATGGCTACAAATAATATATTAAAGCCGGATACTGACGAAAGGGGATCCCTGCGGGTCGGATTTGTTTGGGAGTTTCTTACACTTGTTGGTGGGTGGAGTTTTCTTAGACATGTTTTTGTTGGATTATGATGTTATAAAATCCTCTTGGAATTATGTGCAGGGGAATCTTTGGCTTTGAAATTGAGGATTCCAAATTTCCAATGGTAATCTATGCCATTTATCAAGCATATTGAGGCTACCGGCTCCCAGCACCAAAGCCAATTGATTCCAACAAATGCGTGTTTTTTTTAATCAACGTTTACAAATGATGATTTTGTTTCCTTGTAAGCTACTAAGCTGGATTTCCAACTCGCCGACAGAAGACCATAAATATACTTCCCTTTTTTCTTACTTTTCTTTCCCTTTTAGTATCATAAGGTATATTAAGATGGAGAGTTCCACAAGCAATAACTCCAAGCAAAAAAAAGGGACGGGATAAATACTCATTAGTAATAATAGCAACTATATTCTCAGCGGAGCCGTTGTTTAACATATGAATTTGTAACCAAAAAAAAAAATAATAATAATATGTTCTTTGTTAAATTGTTAATAATAAGTTTTGATATTTGTATCATATTCAGTACCAAAAAATGTAATTTGTATTTCTTGAAAGTAGATTCCGACCAACCTCTACCTTCTATCAATCGGTAAAAAGATGCAAAAGATCTTCTGTGACACTTTTGCGTTACACTTTTTGTGACATTAACTAAAATTTTGACACGTGTTTAATCACTTGTAAAAAAGGTTTTACTTACCATCTGGTCAGAGTGAATAATTTATTATTTAAACACGTAGCAATCATTTAACTTAATATTAACTATATTTGGAGCACATTAGTCATTTGGCAGGAGTCATGTTTTATGCTCATGGAGCACATTAGTCATTTGGTTGGACAGCACATTTCTACAAAAAGATGTTGTTGGTAGGGTTCCTCAATCCTACGTTCCCATGTAACCAGAACATGCAGAATATCTCTCTATACAAGAATGAGAAGATTCCTTCCGAAAAGATGGAATCATGGGAGGATTACTCCTCTTTAGAGTTAAGTCATGACAATGCAAACGAGTCCCCCATCATCACTACAAATTCCCTGCATTCATTTCCAGTTCTCAAATACTAGTCATGAATAGTCAGTCATGCTTACCTGAACATCATAATAACTAGTAACCATTAGCTACGCACACAAATATAATACACAACATATATTAAAAATATTTGATTTCTCAAATTCATTAGTAATTTCTCAAATGCAGTTTAGCAGCGTAGACTAGCTAACTTATGTTTGTCCAGGTCATCTTGAAAAGGCAAATTCAGTCTCTGGAGCGCCGCGGGGCATTTACCTACGTAGCATTTTCTACACTAGTATCCGTTTTATCAACCTCTCAATCCATCATCATCGCGGCTTCTTGAAAACAATTCCTCATTCTTAAGACCATCTTGAAGATGATTCCTTATCCTCGAGTCTATCTTGAAGCCAAGCCCGGTGTCTGGAAACTTCCAAATATATAAGATATATCTAGGAGAACAGTTGCAGTAACTTCAGACCTAGATTGTGCACTCTGGATGAGAGAACGTACGTTTCAAAGTATCGTCTAGCATCGCAATGGGCCTTTACGAGAGAAAATGAAAAACAAGTCCGAGAACTTTCGGCCACCCCCGCCCAAAAAACAAAACAGACACACACACACCCCCCGCAAAACAGCTTAGAGCTAGCATACGAAGATATATAATGCAATTTTTGAGTGTATCAAAGAGCGAGATGATCACAAATGCCCGTGAAAATATTAGTTTCAATATTGTAACGGAGTATCGCATTGTATATCGTTTGTCTACTTGTTTGAGTGGTTTCCAATCAAATAAACTTCATTTTAAATTTGTAATACATCTATCGGTTAATGCATAGAGCACTTTGATGAATGAAATGAAGGAATTAAGGTTTTTTCTTCCCCTTCTTTTCCTCCCATTTTAAGGAGCCTTTTCCATATTTCTCTTTTCTTTACAAAACCAACAATAACTAAATCTATATATATGTGCACACAAAATTATGTTAGGAGAAATAAATATAATATGATTGGAGAAAGAGCAAAAAATGAAAATTCCCGCAGGATTTGGAGAAACTACATGTCAAACCTGACTTACGAAAAATATAAGAAGCGCTGCAGAAAAGATGAAACTATAACACGTTTACTACGATATTTAGCTTTTTACTATGCATCCACAACTATGGCAAATAGCAGTGGATAAAAAGCTTTGCAGTTGTAGAGTGTGGAAAACTTGTATTCCTTCCATTTCAATTTATAGGTCATTTTAGGTTTAGAGAGATTTTTTAAAATGTAAGTCATTTTATAAATTTTAGGCAAATTAATAACTATTTTTCCAACTTTACTCTTAATAAATGATGTTAATATATTTTCATTTAGTCTTGTTTATAGTTCCAATGTAATTAATGTGGGATAAAATAGATATTTAATACATAAATTAATTATTAAATGATTGTTTTCTTAGTTTACGTACAAAATCCAAAGCAACTTACATTTTGAAATGGAAAGAGTAAAACAGACCATTTACTACACCTTCTTTATCCTTTCCAACATCATCATTAGTTTGCTTTCCACAATTCGAAATGTTGGGTCTGACGAAATACTTGAGCCTTTTTCCAGGTCGTGGACTCTTGATAAGGTCTTGTTTGGTATCGGGGTTATAAAAGACGAAAGAGCTATCACTTCTCGTAAACAATAACCAACCATCCTCCGCGCGGTAGTGAGGTCTTAGTGTTTCCAAGGTCAACATGGGGAAATCCGCAAACAAGTACCAAGGAATTACTATCTTCCTTCTAGACCATATTTCATTTCTGTGATCTTCTAGTATCCATAATTGCATCTCTTGTTCATCTGGAATAGTCAAAGCCAACTTGTTGTAATTCCACTTCACTAACACCATAAGTTTCAAATCCATCGGCATTTCTTGTGGGATGTTAACGTATACAGATTGCTCGGTTTCTGCTTCGAGACAAACTATTTCAGAAGAGTTGACGATGTAGCACATTTCTCCACAACATGTGACCTTATAAGGCCACCGGAAGTTGTCTGCAAATCTACCAATGTCTCTCCGTGTTGGGAAAGAGCTGAAAAAAAGAACAGAGATTTTGGAACGTAAAATTCATATTAGAAAGAACCTTACTTTTTATTTTGTGAGAAAACTAATATATAGACAACTCTTACAATAATCAAAAGAGAAAATAACTCCTCAAATCTTAAATTATCTCTAAAGATAATATTAAAAATTTTCAAAACTAATTCTAATCTAAACAAATCAAGATAAATCTCAATCCTAACAAATAATGTATTCCACTAATAAATCTTTGCAGTAAATAAAAAATAATTTAACCAACAAATTTCCTACTTTTTTTTTATTGCAAATCCCTGCATTTTCAAATCAAGTTTTCATTCTCAACTTCATCTCCATCTTCATTTTCTTGATTTACAAAATTAATTTGTTGCTTGTTCTTTCACTCTTTTTCTATATGTTCTATTTGTTTGCAACCTCTGCATTGAAAATTAGGTCGAAACCAACATTATTGTGGTAAATGAGAAGGTTTCTTACAATGTTTACAAGGAGGATATTTTCCTTTGCTGTCACTGTCTCCAAGTGCCTTCCTATCCCACTTTTTACCTTTACCAGCTTCGTCCACTTTATAAAGTTCCTCAATAACATCTACTTTTTCCTTTCTGAAAACTCCCATTTGCTCTTGAGCTTCAAAGGTTGATAGTTCTGCTAGAGATATTTCTAATAAATTTCTAGTTTCTTCAAGGGATGAAATCTTGGACTCAAATCTTTTTAGGAAAGTCACCAATATTTTTTCAACAACCCGGCTATGAGGAAGTTATTGTCCCAAAAGTCTAATTTTATTGACTACCTTCATCAAGTGATCTGTGTAGTCCTTCAATGGCTCTGTCTCCGATATCTTCTGCATCTCGAATCCCTTTTCAAATTCAAGATCTGCGTTCTATTTGTCTTCACATTGCCTTGATATTCTTATTTCAAGATATCCCATGCCTGTTTTGCAGTTAATTTTTTAAACTAAAAAAAAATTAAATATAATTGTACCTTTATTGCACAAATTTCATGTTATTTTTAATTTTTAAGAAAGTAAAAATATTACTTTATGTCAATCTCTAATATAAAAAAATAATTAAGTTCAAATTTAAGATTATCTTTAAATCTAAATCTTATTTTGGATACATTTAACTTATGAAATTATATGGAACTAGATTTACATAGAAGATTTCTCAAGGAGAAGAAAAACAATCATCTTGAGTTTCTTCATTTTTCTACTTTGCCTAAATGCGGACCGGAAAAATATTAGTCTTTTTGGTCCTTATTATGAAATATTTTGATTTGTTCTAAGTTTCATTTAGTATGTTCTTATAATTGAAAATAAAAAACTAAACATGTATTTTTACATTTATTGTGTTCTTTCAATTATTAAAAAGTTATTTTTAAGTTTTTCAAGTGAAAGAACATACTAAATGAAACTTTTGACAAATCAAAATACCTTATAATAAGGACCATTGAAATTATTTAATAGAGATTATTAATGTAGTAAAGTATGGAAATCGTTGCACGACCATATCAGGAAATCGTTCGAGCATCATGTCCATAGCAGAAAGGATACCCAAGTGCCGATCAGAGATAATGCATGTCTCCTTGGTCTGGATAACAAACTTCTTCAAATATTTCAGGAACCACTTCCAGCTGGGAAAAGTCTCCTCATCTACCAAGGTAAATGCTACAACAACAATGTTGTTATTCACACTCTTGCACACAACCATCATCAATTTTCCCTTGTATGCACCTCGGAGGTGGATTGCGTCGATGCTAACAACCGGCATAGAAGCATGAAAATAGATTATAGATGGCCAGAAAGCCAAAAAACATACCTTAATACCCTCTTGTCTAAATCTTTAGTACCTTTTGCGAACTTACACTTCACCTTAGTACCAGGGTTGGTTGCGCACATTGTGGACATGGTACGCATCAAAGATATTTTCTTGAACGAGCTTGACTTTGTATGTTGGCTTTAACCGAACACTAGGTGCGACAAGTCAAGCAATCAGTGTCGACATCACATTTCGGCTGTCTTTCTTGTTGTCCCCAGGACAAGTATGGAAATCCGACCATATCACCACTTTCCATAAGTTTGTATCATCCTGCTTCGTCACACGTACCCACCAATTGCATGGAATGCCGTCAAGACGCTCTTGAGGATACTTTGGAGATGATGTCGCTCATTTTACACACCATCTTGACCCATCAGATTTAACAGTGATGAAAGTTTTACCTTGATCAGTGGACCATTTGGCCAGCATTCTTGCACAAGAAATGTACCCCAGCCTTAATTTGATCAATGACACCGTCCCACATCTTTTCGGCATAAGTATTATTCTCCACAGGAGGATTGTCCCATCCACTTATGTCGCCGTAAGCCTCATAAGCCTTCCATCTAGGATTATCAGATGCACTAGTGTCATTGCCATCTTCTTCATCAGAGGATTCACCCGATGGGACGTGTTCATCGTCACTACCAATCTGTCCCCTGCCTTCCTCTTTATCCCTTTCATCTTCACTGTCTTCATTTTGACAATCAGCACTTGTACCTGCACCAGTAGCTTGCTCAGATGAACTTGCATGATCAACCCCACTAATTGGCGCAAAACAAACGTACAATTCAGGCCAATTCTGCGACACTAGGTATATCAACGGTATACCCTCGTCGTCATGAATATGCATATACCACCTTCTACCAGAACTATCGGTCTACATAAGAACAAAATTGACTGTCACCCTTCCCTTATCAAAACCAGCAACTCTACAGACCTTATCCACGAGTTCAATGTAATTCAACTCGCGGTCAATAAATATTCTTTTGTCTGCCATTCTGTTGTTCACATCAACAATTTCATTTACAATTTCAATACCACTAGTCCAGTATACATTCAGACAAAACAGAAAAGATATTTTCGATATCTGTAACAAATAATTTAAACCCTAAATTAAAATGTATCCAACAGTTAATACGAAAATATAAAGGACCGTCTGATTCAAATGCTTTATTCAACTATCTAATTTAAATAATTACTTATCTCATCTTCACATCTATACATCTATTAAATCTATATTCTAATCTTTTCACCAAAAACAAATCTATATTCTAATTTCGTTCCTATACCTAACATAAAGTCTAGAATTAATTCAACTACATATTCATCTTTAAAATACATACATTCAACCAATTCACCCATTTCATACATCAAAATTATATAATTCATCTCAGAATTCTACATAAAATATAAAGACAACAATCTATGCAATAGAGGGTGCAAATCTAAACATTATTCAGATGGCAGAGAGTAGAAACATACCAAAATGATTCAAACACCAATCCTTCTTTCAAATTTTTACATTGCTTTCGCCTGGAATTTTACATTTCCGATTGGAAGCTCTCAAAGCTGAAAATCATATAATTGAGAATGAAAGAAATGCACGTTCGCATTCTATTTTGGCAGATATTTGTACCAAATTCCGCATAAGAGGAATGCGGCTTTGTAAGTTTTTTTTTGTCAGCTTATCTGCCACGTGTCATTACCGGAAGACACGCTCAAGTTTTCTGGATAAGACTTAAAACCGAATAGGAGCAATGCGGTTTTGTTTTCCGCAAATAGAGTATGCAGTTTTTTGATTTGAACATTCAAATTTTGCCGTCTTATGAAATTATTTTTCTAAATTTGTAATTGTCAATACCGCATTCAGGATTTGCGGATTTAGTTTATTACTTTTTTATTCAACATCGAATTTCCTACTAGTTTTGACTTTAAAAAAAAAAATTAACAAAACCGCATTCCGTGTACGCGATTTTTTTAATTCATTTCATTTAAGATTTTCGGAATGTAGCATAGCGGAAAGGGTATTTGTTTTTACAATTTAAAAACCTGGAACCATATGTGTCCACAAGTGGTCCTTTCAATGGCATTAATCTCAAGCTTCCGAGAATACCGTGAATGTAAAATATAATTTTAAGGTTTTTTCTTTACTTAGAAAAACTGAAATTTAGAGCAAATAAAAAAACTTTATAATAAAGACTCGACAGTTTCATTACTCGATTAGTCTATTTCGATAATTAAGTTGATTGGATTTATCACGATTCACGCAGATGTGTTCGTCCAAGTAAGATTGTAAGATCAAGATAATGGCCACTTATTAACTTCACAAGTGTGATTGAACCCTTGTTTCTTTATAGCACAGCTCTATGTTTAGAGATCTTAATCGCTCAATTTACCCATTCATGATGATAATATTTGCACCAGTGACTTTGTTCCTAAAACGAGTGACTTTGTTTAAAGATTTTGATCTTCTCTTATTGTTACACTGGTTTTAGTCTGTCAATGACACATACGAATAAGATATTGTACCGCGAGGCGCGAGAAGCAAATTTCTCTCTGTTTCGTTCATCACCTTCTTGCTATCTCAAAGGAGTAAGTAAACCTTTAAACTGTTGATTTCTCATGGATTCATCAATGTATCCACACAAAAGCTTTGAGAGATTCCTCAATTCCTGTGTTTTTAGATCACAAGCTACCGTAATTGTTACCAAGGTTTTTAGTACTCTGGAATCTCTCCACTCCAAAAAAAGAAGTGGTCTTATTTCTTAAACTATTTATGATTCCCCTCCACATACCACATGTAAACTTCACCATCGTTCTAAGAATCCAGTCGCTACTGATATTATATGGTGCAGTATTAGCTTCTTCCTTTGTGCGGGTATACAAAAAAAGACAAAAAGAAAATAAGGAAAAAGAGAGATTCTGCACTCAATCTAGCATTCTGACAAAAGAAACTCCAACATTCTGAACATACAATGTGATGATCCTGGAGACCGGAAAATCGAACAATACCTATGGGATTTTTAGACTCAATTAAGCTGATACAACTCCACTGAACAAGATTGTTTCACAAAATGGACACAATTGATTAATAAATAGTGAGACGAAAGATAAGAATTCAGCATCAGTTATTACATTTGCAGTGTCATCTTTACAGATACAGAGATGCATCTGATAATCTTGGGGTCGGTTTGGCAACCAAAGCCTTCCTTTTCTTTAACACAATACCAAACTTCTCTTCCACATCCAAACTTTCTCCATCAGGCATTGTCCAATCAAACGAGTGAACTAGTGAAGCAAGCGAAAGCATGAACATCCTCACAGCCATTTCTGTCCCTGCACAAATTCTTCGACCCGAGCCAAACGGGAAGTAACTGAAATCATTTCCACTGTAATCCAGCATTTTACTACCCAAGAATCTTTCAGGACGGAACTCCAAAGGATTCTCCCATATCGAAGGGTCTCTGTGTACTGCCCAAGCATTTATAAAAACACGAGCGCCTTTCGGAATCGTGTATTCTCCAACAATGCATGTTTCTCTGGGGCAGTGAGGAACTAGGAGGGGAAGTATAGGGTGCAGCCTCAATGTTTCTTTCATCACTGCGTATAAGTATGGTAAATTTTGAATGTCAGACTCTTCCACAGTCCTATTTTTACCCACAACTGTCTCCAGCTCCTGCTGAACCTTGCTTAAAGTTTCGGGGTTGTACATCATCTCAGACAAGGCGAATTCCATAGTGTTCGAGCTTGTGTCAGTTCCTGCTACGACCATGTCCTGTTCCTCCCCATGATGAAACAATTGTCAAATAGCAAAGTTTCACAGATTTTGCAGCACTAAAAGGGATAGAGTTTGGATATGTAACAGTCTAAATAATCCCACCAGTTTGATAACTAGAGACAGGTTTAACGCCAAAAAGTTGAAGTACTTTAGCAAGTAGTGTGCATTGGATATCAAAAAAAGCACAAAACAAAAAACATGTATTTAACGCGATAGCATGAGGGATCAGATGAATATCAGAGATAATGTTTAGTTCTACCATATTCTAGGAAAATTCTTATCATGATTAATCTTGTTACAGCATTGAAACTAGGTGATAACTGATAACAAATGGACCAGATAGAGAGACATACCATGAATAAGGCCTTGAGATGAGTCATGGTAAATTTAGTTTTGCCATCCCCTTCATCTTTCATTTTCAGCAAGAACTGCAGGAAATCCTTGCTCTTTTTTAAATCAGCACAAACTTCCTTCATCCTTTGATCAATCAACCTCTCGAATATTCTGTCAAACTTCCCTGCTGAAATTTTGGTTTTCTTCTGAATTCCTTGCAGATCGAATCTTGCCAAAGCAGGGTAAAAATCCGATATATTAGGCATCCCCAAACATTGAGTAATCTCATGGATTACTTGCCTGAATTCTGCGCCAAGACTCGTCCTTTCGTCTCCCTTTACAGTGCCCCCCCACAACATATGGGTAGTCACATTAAGAACGGTTAAAAACATCTGCTCCCCGACATTAATCGGCTTCCCAGACTGTTTGTAGAAGAATTTAATCATCTGCTGTATTTCCTTCCGCCTGAGGGTGGAAACAGAGTCTAAAGTGGCATTGCTAAGCATTCCCCTCACACTTACTTTTCTCAGCATCCTCCATTCAGGACCATAAGGATTCCAAACAATATCCGAGCCACCGTAAACAGCTTCCCGGCCTGCAGCCGGAACGTCCCGGTTGGCAAAAATTGTGTCTTGATCCTTGAGCACTTCCCTAGCCAGTGCAGGGGAACTAATAACAATCCCTACTATTTTTCCAAGCCTGAGAGTTAGTATTGGACCATAAGATTTTGAAAGGTTTGTGAAATATGCATGAAGCTCTGGGTCAAGTGACAAAAGATTTCCAACCAGGGGTAAAGTTTGTGGACCTGGTGGTAATGGTGGCACCTCTTTGTTTGACTTCTTGATGAAAATGAGAGCAAACCATATTATAGCAAGCCCACAGAGAGCATAAGAAAGTAGATCAGAGTTGCTATTGGTGGAGGTGTTGAGTGAGATATGGAAGATCATATTTTACCAGGCAAATGGGCTCATTCCAGAGGAGTAAGTCAGAAACGAAAGACCTTTTCAAAAAAAAAAAAAGTCAGAAATGAAAGGAATTGCTGATCAATTCAACCAGCAAAGTTCGATTTGTAGCTGTTACTGAAATGCTTGCCATCTACACTCATTTATCAAATAACCCTCCCTCCACCGATTAACGAGTCTCCTAATTTTTAGGATGGCTGATACATCACATGAGCTCCAATACAAGTTCTACTCTAATGGATTTTAAACCAACATTGCCTACTCTATTTATCAAGACAATTTTGGTTATTGGTCATGTTATACCAGCTGGAGGTGTACCAGCTGGTGTTTATATTATTATCTAACTTTCTGGCTTATCTAACTTTCTGGCCAACTTTCATCCTGAGCTTTTTTGTTCAGCCTACTTTCTTCACTTAAGGTGATATTTGGTAAAGGTGTCAACATTGTCTTACTATATTTGGTGCACATTAGTAGTTTGGCTGGAGTGATCATGCTTTATGCTCAACTCATTTTTTGTATGTATCCAGGGACAGCACATGGTGCGATTTTCCCAAAATTATTTCTCCAAAAAACATGTGGTTCTGACTTCTGTTAAAAATAATCCTTCATCACTTCATACAGCAGTATGAAGACTTTATCCAAAAAAAGTTCAAGAGATTGGGAGGAGAAACTCAAAATTTAGAAGATCAAGATGAGTGAATCATGGAAGGATTACTCTTTAATTACGACAAAGCGAACTCAAAGGAGTTTCTAGGAAGGATTTGCAATATTATTTTAGGTGAAATAAGGCCCCAATTATCAGTTCAAATTCCCTGGATTCTTTTTGGTTCTCAAATACTAGCTAGAACCGGCTGTTCATCCTCATCTGGACCTCTCAAGATAGACTAATGAACTCTAGCTGTGACCATAATATAAGTCGATAATGCATAAAATATTCTTGCCATATTGAAACTATCTAATTTCTCAATTTCATCAGTAAATGAAGGATTACCTTTGCTACAAAGGGGGAAGAGAACTAAACAATGCATCATCAGTAAGAGGCAAGGAAGCTTCAGATTCTGTAGGCCATTCAGCACTCAAATCGATCCCCTCAAAATTGATTGGCCTATTTCTACCATCTCTGCTTCTATCAATTGCTTGTAACCATAGATTGCAATGCACATAAACTAAATCATTCAACTTATCAGGCTCTCCTCTTAGACATCTCCTGTCGTGCATGTTTCGAAAAGTAATCCAGTTCCATCTGCACCAGTGGGAGCTACAAGGTTGGCTTAGAATTTGTATTGCAGCTCTCTGTAATGTTGGGATTTCGTAACCATATGCAGCCCACCAATCATCTGAAAAGAATCCGAATATAGGAAAGACAATGAGACAGTAATTAATATGGAGATACACTATTAATTGATGAGAAACAAAAAAGATGAATGCAGCTTTTCAGCCTAACCAATTGATTAGATACAACACACCTGGAGAATTTAATGTTCTACCCTTTATGGAAAATTCAGTCCCTAGAGAGCCTTGTGCATTTATGTATACGGGATGTTCTACAGTGATATCCACTTTATCTTGGTCCTCTCTAGCCATTTTCATCATGGCTTCTTGAAAACCATTCCTCATCCTTGAGTCCATCTTGAAGCTTGGATTGTAGAAAATGGAAGGGTTAAGGAATGCAGATGCTGTAAGTAATGGGGAGAGAAGTTGAGCGTACCACCTATTGTCAATTAGTTCCAAAATTTTCTCATACTTCTCTTCAGAATTTCTATAATATGCCTTAATATTAAGCTTTGCCCTGACCATTCCTTCGTATATGTAACCAATTGCAGGCATGTCCCCATCCACAATTCTAAGGATCTTAATTAGTGGTTCCGTAACACTAACAGCTTCACGAGCAGAGTTCCAAAATCTATCTAGATACAACAGGGAAACAATCGCTTGAACTTCAGAACCTCGATTATGGATAGATGATAACCACTCTGGATGAGAGAACATTCGTTTTAAGTTAACCTCTTGCGTCACAATGGACCTTAAAGAAAGGAAATGAGAAACAAATCCAGGAACTTTTGGCCTAATTAGTTCCCCTCCACATGTGAACTTTCTCATCATGGCAAGAATCCAGTCATTACCGTAGATATATCGTGTGATAGTATTGGCTTCTTCCAAGACTCTGTGCACCCAATCTAGCTGACTAAAATCCTCCAGCATTTTGTTGATACAATGTGATGCACATGGAGACCAGAATAATGAAGAATACTTTTCCATTAGAAGCCTGCCAACGTATACAAAGCACTTGGTGCTCTCAGTTATTACTTGAACAATGTTTTCAACACCAACTTCCAGGATAACACCTTCAATGACTGTAAACAAATAAGTAGGATCTTCTGCACAATTTGGTATATCTACAGACCGCAGAAAGAATGTTCCTTTGGGACATGTAACAGAAAAAGCCAGAATTGTTTTGTTCCTGTCATCGGACCAACTATTACATAGGACTGTGCAACCTGTTTCCTTCCACTCATTTCTTACCTTGTTATACTGTTCATGTATATCAGCCTTCACGCTTTCCAAGAGACTAGACCTTAATCTCTCAGAACTTGGTGCTTTGTAACCCACTCCACATTCTCCAACAGCATCCACCATGTCCTGATAGTATGTTGATTTAGCAGCACTGAAAGGAATAGAGTTCTGAAAGAAAAATGCGGCGATCTTTCTGTCAGCGTGATATCGCTTTTGGTGTTGAACTTCATCGACAGGCATATTTTCACTTGGCAAATGATGTCGAACTAACATAGAAGGGCTAGTGCTTCCATTTTCTTCACTAGAACCATGGTTAGGGTGAACACCGCCACTTCCTGAAGAACTATGCTGCTGACAATTTAAAGCTTGATCCTCCTCCTTCTGCCTCTTGGGAGTCTTCTGTTTCTTTGGGGTGCTAAGTATAAGCTTTATACGGTCCCGAACATCCATGGGTACTTCAGTGCATGGGACAACATCCTTGTTCTTAATCTGTGCCAAATGAAACTTCATCCGATAAACGCCACCACTGAACTCCCTTTGACAGTAATTGCACCTGACCTTCTGTTTAGTTGCATCCACAAGAACACAGTGTTCCCAGCATGCATCTCTCCCACGAACCATTTGGTTACCCAAAACCGAGAAAAGTTTTATCCCAGCTTAATGCACCTTTCTAAATCAACAAATGCCACATTTAATTTACTTATACAGATTAATCATCACCAGTCACCACACACACACTAAACTTGCCGGGAAGTAAAAGACTGTCAGATACTCAGATTACCAATCCTACAGATTAATACAGAACTCAATTCACTAGGAAACAATGTCAAGAGTTGGGTCATATATTCGTTTAGAAACAAGTTCAAAAGTCAGCAACAGTACCCAACAAGGGAAGCCTAATTCTTTTCCCTGCTTACAATCGCTTATAATCGAAGATATTGAATCCAAGAAAAGATATTCATATCAGCAGCTAACTGTTATATGAATTCTGAAGAACACAAATTTGGAGAAAGGAAACATAAAATCAAAAGAGGGAAAAAAGAGAACAAGACATGAGTACCCAGTTGGAAATGGCAGAGAAGCCGGTGGTTGATAGAGAGTTGACGGTGGTCGGAGTGGGTTTGACGAGGAATTGAAAGACCCCGGCGATGAATTGGTTAACCTCGCCAAGCAGATGCCGATTTAATGAGGACGAGGAATTTATTTTTGGAGTTTTTCATTGTCACGTGCTGTATGGCTTGGCTGCTTTTTGGACATTTTAGACTATCCTCTGTTTAGTGATTTAGAAGCGCTCCTTTCTTTCTTTTTTGTTTTTTTTTTTTTCTCGTTTTTTAGATTGTCTTGGTGGTGACCAAGGTTTCCCCTGTGAAAATGGAGTACCGTGAAGCTTAAAATTCACAAGATCAAAAGTTCAACCACTTTACTCCTATGACTGATTTTCCGCAAACACATTTGAAAAGCTATGATCTAGGTCACCTTTTCATTATCATCCGTGAAACATACAAACTTTAGAAGAGCGATACATGAAGCAAGAAAGTAAACGTAAGGTCCAGAAAGTCCACACTTCGGTGTGGAGCACAAACTTGAACCAAGTAGAAATGGTCATATTAAACATTAAAACTCCCATGTTAAGGAATCAGTTAGGCTGATGTTCATTATCAGGCAAACTAGTCGTAGAGCTAAGTTAGATCGAATGCAATCAGAAGAATACATCAGGCGTCGCAACAAAGAGGCAAGGTATAAGGAACAAGATGAGCAAGAAATTCCAGCCCAAGCAGTCCAACAAAATGAGAGTTTTGAATTATTCGCACCACAAAATCTTGAATTCACAGAAAGTGCAGCAGTTCAGCTTGTACTAAGAGCATAACTCCTCATTCATTAAGCACCTATTTATCATTCGAGTAGACGAGCTGCCTAACTTTGTTGACACAATCAGCATAACTGCCAACTACAAAGCGACATTTCAGAGGGGCATTCTTGTTTTCATTGTAGCACTGCTTGCAGGCCTCCAGCTTATCTAAACAGGGAACAGGCTTCTGCTGTGGAAGCTTGAACTCCTTATCATGAAGATCCTTTGCTCTTTCAGTAACTTCCTTCAGCAAGTTCTCCTCTTGCTTCTGCAGCCTCTCCACCACGTTTTCACTTTCTTTCAGGACAGATCGAATGGCATCTAACTCTGCCTGAGAAGACTGTTGAGGAGGAAGGGGCATGTAAAGAGGCGACTGAAGCCATCCAGTTGGAGGTGGCGCGCTAACAACTTCAGAATCATCAGAGAGTTGCTTAGACTGAGATTTCTGCGGATTTCTAGGTTCTCTTGGTAGCTCTGGTTTTGGTTTCTTAGTTTTCTTCTTTGCTTTCACACTTTCCTCGGCAAGCTGGTTAACTAAATTGGTACTAATTTGAATTGTAAAAGGTGGTTCACTCATGGTTCCAGAAGTCCCTCAATCACCTGAAACACACATTTACAAACAACCAAAACGTGTCACTAACAAACAGGCCAGTTAAAACTCCATTGAGGTCCAAACAAGCAATAGGTGGAACTTCAAACAAATGGAAGATATCTAAGGCATTCAAGAAACTCTAGGAATTTCAAAAGGCAGAAAAGGCAAGAAAGGGTTGTATAATCATGCAAAGAGAGCTGAGTGCATTTGTCAAACAACAAAATTCAAACCAATTGAAACTTTTATGCAACAATCCAGTCAGATTAAAAAGAAATCTCAAGACTGAAATAAAACACCTGCATTCAAGCACAAGACTAAAATCTCTAGCAAGTTGGTAAAGACCCATCACTGGACAAAATCCTAACACCTTAGCAGAGATTTTCATGCATTAGATGCCAGATAGCAAGTCACATTCTAAAAGTCATGGACATGGTTTGTTCTTAAGGTAACACAACCAAAAAAAAACCCCACTAGCTAGAGCTTAAATTCCCAGGACATCATCGACCACTTCAGCCATATTTACATGACAAGTACAATAAAACACGGAAGAGTACTCCAATCCCAGAGTTAAACTATTACTCCCGTCGATAACCAGACGACGCAGCCTATTGGACAATGTTCAGGCATTACCTATTGAACAAAGTTAAACTATTAATGCCGTCGATAACGAGATGACGCAGCATATTGAACGAAGTTCAGGTATTACCATGACATTTCCTGATAATTTATCAACGATTTAATCAACAAAATAGCATGAAGTGACCAAAAAATCATAAGTTATATCAATAAGCTAAAAAGACAGTGTTACAAAGAAATAGTGATGAAACATAATCAAAAGGTGGTTTAAAAAATAGGGTACATAATCAAAAGGTGGTTTAAGAAAATCAGACTAGCATGGCTTAAAATTGGATAAACCCACAGTTGCCCTGCTTCCATGTGTACGGATTCTGAAAAAGAACAGTTCTCATCCAATGCTAAGATTTCCAAAAAACCATTGATCATATATCATCCTACAATTTCAAGTTCTGAAATTCCAGGGATATTCAGAAGCAAATCCTTATCCTAAATCCAGAACAGACCAGGTTACACGAAATGCAATTTTCTGCAAGGTATAGTACCAATGCATAACCGAACTCCTTATCACATCCTCCTAGCGTTAAATTACTAAATTAAAGCATCCCTAAACCAAAACTCCCAATTCCAAGAGGTAAATATCCAAGTAAAACCGGAATGGCATAGCTTAATAATTCCATTTCCCAAAATAAGAAAAACCCACAGCAATCATGCACAAAGTAAAACCGTAAGCTATTCCTTTTGAGAAACCGGTTGATTAGAAGTAATCGTCTATCTCAATCCCATCGAAATCATTTCTCCCGGCGATTGACATCATACGAACAAAAATTCAACAAAATGCTACAAAAAAACACGCGCATCATACAGTCTGAAAAAAAATTGAAAGGCCAATATGCATTATAATGAAAATTGACAGTCGAATCAACATAATCTTACCTCCTGTTCCGCGCAGATCCTTCGACGGGGTGATCGCACAGACGCAGTGAAGCACGAGTTAGGGCTTTGAAGCTATAACCCAAAGCCGAGTTACTGGGTCGGTTGTCGGAGGAAAAGTTAATTTAAAAATAAAAAGAAAAAAGAAAAAGAAATAATTCATTTACATTTAAAAATAAAAAGAAAAAAGAAAAAGAAGTAAATTTACATTTGGGGGCTTCGGGCAAATAAAGAGAAGTTTTTATTTCATTATGTTACGTTACTTCTAAAGTCTATAGTAATAAAAATAATTCAGAAATTAAAATAGTCATCAAATCAATAAAAACATTTGAAAATTTTAGTTTTTTAAACTAAAAGAAAAAACTAAAAGAAAAAAATTAAATATAATTGTACCTTTATTGCACAAATTTCATTTTATTTTTAATTTTTTAGAAAGTAAAAATATTACTTTATGTCAATCTCTAATATAAAAAAATGATTAACTTAAAATTTAAGATTATCTTTAAATCTAAATCTTATTTTGGATACATTTAACTTATGAAATTATATGGAACTAGATTTGCATAGAAGATTTCTCAAGAAGAAGAAAAACAATCATCTTGAGTTTCTTCATTTTTTTTACTTTGCTTAAATGCGGACCGGAAAATACTAGTCTTTTTGGTCCTTATTACGAAATATTTTAATTTGTTCTAAATTTCATTTAGTGTGTTCTTATAATTGAAAATAAAACAGTAAACATGTATTTTTACATTTATTGTGTTCTCTCAATTATTAAAAAGTTATTTGTAAGTTTTTCAAGTGAAAGAACATACTAAATGAAACTATTGACAAATCAAAATACCTTATAATAAGAACTATTGAAATTATTTAATAGAGATTATAAATGTAGTAAAGTATGGAGGTTTGCCTTACTAAATAAAGTAATAATATAAATATTAAAGTTATTAATAAAATAACTCAGAATAATAAAATTAAATTTTTATTATTAATAAAATAACTCAAACTAACAAAATTAAATTTTTTAAGAAAAAATCAAAATTTTTATGTTCTAAAAAAAGACTTCTTAATTTCCGAATTTAGTCTTTTTAAAGTCTAAATTCCTAAAAAGATTGAAAATAATTGGAGGAGATTTCACATATGTTTAAAATCTGTAGTAAGTTTGGTTTGGAAAAGGTTATACCCTTCTTGTACATCTATAGGGAGTATTTGCAGTTGTGGTCCAAATATTACCACCAAGTTAGAAATCACATTGGAAAATAATAGTTGGCTCCTCTTTTGAAATAGAAAAATCAAGAGTGTTTAAAAATTGTTCCCAAAGGAAAACCTATGGAACTATACATCTTTATAGTCCCAATATATATATATAATAAGGAGGGTTAAAAGGCAGAGAAAACTGTTTGGGGTGTAGTTGGGTTTCCCATTCTTTTGGTCTTATTGTTATAGGATTGACAAGTAGAATGTGTAGGGTCTCCATTTGTTCCATGATGTTTAAGGGAAACAGACCCGGATGTATTAACAAGAATGAATTCAAAAAAAATTTGGTTGTGAATTGGGGTTCTAGGGATAAAATTAGTGTTTGGAGACAAGATGTTTTAGACTAACTCTTGAGGGGTGTTCCAAAAATCTTGTTGAACCTGCACAAGATTGACGTAATTTTGATTTTTAAGATATTCGGTGGTTCCACATTTTGAAACAAGTAATTTCTGGACCATTTTGAACTGCCATTCTTTTTGGAAAAGGGAAACTTGAGGTCACCTCAGTTTGAGTACTGGAGCTAATCGACTCCACTGGTTCAGATTTTATTAATTTAAATTCAGCAGCTTGTGCTAAAGTTTTAAAGTTACTAATGGGGTTAGAAGTTTGGTCTAATACCTTTGTTCTTCTTCTTCTACAATATCTGCCCATGTTTTTGCTGTTTTAAGAGGTATTAGTTCAATGGTTTGAGGATTCCGGGAGACTATAGCATAGTCTTTTGGTGAGTATGCTAGTTTAGGATAGGTCTTTGAAGATTATACTTCATCTTAGATGCATGGTTCCATATGTTTTCCTTATGAAACAAAGTTTAGGCGGTATTAATGTAAAGATACAATTAAAAAATAGGCAGTATAAACCTGTCATATTTAAATTAATATAATGTATAAAATAAATAAAAGAATTTAGTTTAGGTGATTATAAACCTGTAATATTACAAAGGTTTAGAAAAGCTTATAATGGTTTAAAGTTTGTACAATGATAAGAGAATGATAAAATAGTTATAAGAGTGAATACCTTACTTCGAGTTTTCGAACTTGAAAAAGACCTTCAAGCATATAAATGTTTTTCTTGAGAGAATATTTTGTTTACAGTTAGAGCTTACAATTAGAGTGAGAAAGTAAGTAAGAGTAGAATGAAAACATGTCCTCCTTTTTCTTCACGCCTCTGTTTATGGAAAATATTTTTGTTGCTTACATGCTACGTATAGTACCCCACTACAGTAGTTTTCGTGTTTTGATTCTACAGAGTTTTCATGTTCCGGCATCTACAGTATTTTCGAGAATCTACAGTGTTTGTGAATGGTATTTATTTTTTATTCTGTGAGAGACAATATCCCATAAAAATCATAACACGCGCTAGGATTGGCGAAGAAGGTTGAAAGGGGAGAACAATCGACCAGTGGATCTGAACCCAGTCTTTTCAAATCAACCGGAGAAAAGGTGCAAACAATGGCTTCCACTTCGCGGAAAACCTCTTTACTGTCCGCTGCAATGACTAACCCATTATTGGGGGCTAGGGGTTCCTGTAGGCATGGGAAGGGAACTTCAGCATTGGGTTGTATTTTCAACAATGAATGGATTATGGTAGCTCTGGATCATTCGAGCCTGTCACCTGGTTCATTTCCAGAAAATGTTCTTGAACTCAATTCAAACCTCCTCGCTGCTTTCTCTGTAGGGAGCCAAAATTCCCATGACTTTTTGCTCAACCATCTGCGAGAGAAGTGCCACAAACATGAACTCGGGGAGGAGAGAAAAGCTTCTGCTGCGGAAGCATCTAAATGGCTAGCTAGCTTTCTATCTCTTCATCCTGACAGAGATGAGGGTTTGTCACTAGGAATACTGATTGTTGGGTGTGACAATTAATCGGGACCTTCTCTGTACAATGTGGACGGTAAGGGAAAACTGCTCAAACAATCTTTCCTTGGAACCGGATCTGCTTCAACAGCTCAAGATATATTTGTTTCCAAGTTTTTCTTTAAGCCTAGCAGTTGTATTTCAATGGTTAAAGCTGTGGATGTGGCCAAGAGTGCACTTTGTATTGGTGCATACAACATGCCTGAAAGTCTTGAATGTGGCAGTGTTTTCATAGTCGAAAGTGCTAGGATTACACCGGTAGTCTTCAGTGAAGATATATTAGCATGGGAAAAGCACTTCAACAAAGCTGGGAGAGAGTGGCAAGAACCACACCTCAGGAAAGTTCACAAGCAGATGGCGTTTTTCTAGTTTGGCAAGGGGAGGATTTCTAAGTCTTTTATCATATTTATGGGTTGCACTGAGTGGTTTTCTTACTTTAAGTTTTAAGGAACGTATTCTTATCCGACATGATATTTTTTTTTAAAATTATCCAGCCCCGAAGCCTTGTGTTCTGCATGAGCTTGGAGCTTGTTATCCGACTCCTCGACAGGTTCTCCCTGTATGAGAAAGTGACTTTCTAGCCTTTATTATTAGGATTCTGTACATCTTCCATCTCAGTAAGAAGGTGCAACAATATGAACTGTTCCTAAATAGATTATCTGAGAAAAAAAAAATCCCATAAAAATCATCTTCATTTTCCTCCCCTTGAAGGTCAATAAGGGAGTCTGTCAAATTTTGTAGATTAGATATGCTTGGAGACGTTGATGACTTGAGTTGATTTAACAGATGTTCTAATTGCTTGACATAATCTTGCTTTGATTCCATTGATGCCAATCTTGACTGGATTATACTAATTTTGTTTGCAAGATCTGAAAAATAGGTCTAACATAAACAATATTGACTTCGAGTTTTCATCTTTATTTCCTGTACTAAATTCTTAATTCTGAATTTTGAATTTAGTCTTTTTAATATAATTTTATATTAAAAATTAATCTAAATCTTATATAATTGTAAACAATTTCAGTAATTTGTATTTTTAAAATGAACATATTTAAGAAGATGATTTTTTCGAGCAATATAATATCTAATCTGATTCTCAATAATTTCATAAGTTTTTTTTTTAACCAGGGCAAGCCTGGCAGGGGATTAACCCAATTTATTAAAATAAAAATATTCGTTACAGATAGTGAGAATACAAGGTACAAGAATGATCATCAAATTCTAAGACTTGGAAAGCCCATACAATCTAAAGTAATAAGGTCTCTCACTGTATGAGGAAGATCCCTTAGATCAAGAAAACGCTGAGATGTACCATAGGAGGCCATACCAGCGAGTTTGTTAGCAACAAAGTTGGCTTTACAATAGACATGGCTAACAGAGAAATTCAGACTATGGACTAGGAACTGGATTTCCTGGATGTAAGATCTGTACCGCCAAGGAGGTTACTCGTAGGATTGTATTAGTAAAGCAAGGGATAAATTATCCATTTGTACCTCAACATTTTTAAGATCCAGCAACCAACATCTTCTTAGGCTAAAGAGTAGGCCGCTTACTTCAGCTAATGTGCTATCTCCTCGACCAACAAAGCCAGCCTCACCAAAGATTAAAGAGCCAAGATGATCTCGAATTACAAAGCTATAGCCCGATGCATTTTCATCCAGAATAGAGGAACCATCTTTATTTAGTACAAAGGAATTTTATTGCGGCCTTTTCTACCATACCACTTGGATAACTCTATCCTTATGAGCAAAAGAAACAGAGGGAAAGATTGATACGATGAGATTCTTTTCCAATGTAGATCATGCCGGAGGAGAGTGGACCATTAGAAGATTCCGTAAATCATCCATTACTAATTGTTTAATTTGAGATAAAGAGAAATTTTTTCCATCCATAATGAAGCCGTTGCGAGCCTTCCAGAGTTCCCGAAAAATGAAGATCGGAGTATCCATGATCGCCTCTCTTCTTGCTGAAGTGAAGCTTCCAAGTGAAAACCAAGACTGAAATATGTGCCATACTATTGAAGCCGGTGGAAAATTCACTTGGAATAATGCCGAGAAATGCACCCAAATCAACTTGGCAAATGTGCAATCAATGAAGGTATGCTGGATAGAGTCCTCATTATTCCTGCAAAAAATACAAATAGAGGGATTAACATTGATTCCGAAAGAAATTACCATGTTTGAAAAAGGAAGCAACTTGTTAATGAGCTTCCAACAGAAAAAAGAGATGCAGAGTGGAATGAAATGATGCCATAAGCTTTTGAGAACTCCCTGTTTAGGCTGCTTGGAATGGAGGGCATCATAAGCCGACTTGCTGGTGAAATTTCCACTTGAAGTCGGTTGCTAAATTACACGGTCTTCCTCCTCACAGAAGATCTGATCAGAGTTCTGCAAATGTGCCAATGTTGTCGGAGTTAGTACATTCTGGAAAGAGGACAGATACATTTCTTTTCATTATAGAAATCCTTAATTGAAAGATCAGGCTGAGGTGGAGGAGCTGTCGAAATGTCCCATAAGACCCCCAATGATGACCAATTAGCATGCCAATAACTAGATTTTCCATTCTGAATAAGTATTTTAGAATGGCGCAAAACAATGTGTTCAATCTTTTCAACACGACTCCAAGAAGTCTTGCGACGAGCAGTTGCAGACAAGGAAATGATGAACTTAGCCCATAAACCCTGTTTATTCCTGAATTTTCACCACATTTTCGCAGAGAAAGCCTTCACCACGTCTCTAAATTTGCACAAGCCTATGTCATTTTCATCCACCGGGAAAGTTAATCGTTCCCATGATCGCCAATGCCTTTTCCCTTCTTCTGATCCTTGCCAGAGGAACTGTTGACAACGTCTTTCAAGCTGGTTAAGAACAGAGGTTGGTGGAGAGATGGCTGCAAAAACATGGATTGGGATTGCCAAAAGAATGTGCTTGATTAGAAGGAGCCGACCACCCGAACTCAACAACTTGTTTTTCCAGTTCTTTAGTTTAGCGTCAAGGGCATCATATAAATGCTGGATTTGATCAGCCCGTTTCCGCCCTTGTGTAATTTTGCATCTGAGGTAATGAAGGGGCATAGACCCTTGCTGCATCCCTAAAATGCAACGAATTAGAACGAGGCATTGCTGCGGACAAGAATCATCGACGTAGAAGCTGCTTTTTCTGACGATTAGTTTTCTGTCCAGAAGCTTTTTCATAGTCGACGAAAAAAGCATTTAAGGCTTGAAGTGATGCTTTAGATCCTTTGGTAAAAACCAAGAGATCGTTGGCGAAGCATAGGCGCGAGATGAGTTTTGATCCAGCAGGAGTATCAAAGCCATCAATCACTTGTTGCTGTATTAGAAAGTTGAGCCGGCGAGACATTGCTTCTGAAATTAGAATAAAGAGGTATGGCGACAATGGATCGCCTTGTTTTAAGCTCCTAGAAGCTTGGAAGAAACCTTCCGGTTATCCATTTATAAGAATAGAAAACCAACTATTAGATAGGTTAGAAAAAATCAAAGAAATAAAACGAGTGGGAAAACCAAACCGAATGAGTGTTGCTTTGAGGAATTCCCAAGAAACTCTATCGAATTCCTTCATCACGTCGACCTTGAGGATGAGATTATTGCCAACCCCTTTGTGACCCAAAAATTGGCATAGATCTTGAGCTAACAAAATATTATTGATGATGTCCCTCCCGGCCAAGAAAGCCGATTGCTCTTCTGATATTAATTTGGGCAAAATCGGCTTCAACCTTTCAGTAAGTAACTTCGTAAATATTTTATATATGAAGTTACATAAACTAATAGGTTGTAGATCAGAGAATGTTGAGATTGAGGTCTTCTTAGGGATTAGGGTCACCAAAGTGCTTCCAATGGAGCGAGGAATCAGAATGCCATGAAGGAACTCTTCGCATGCCTTAAGGAGATCAATGGCAATTATATCCCAACATTGCGTATAAAAAAACCCTCCAAAGCCATCCAGACCCGGAGCACTATCTTGATCAAGACCAAAGACGGTTGACTTGATCTCCTCCATTGTGATTCAGTAGAGCCTCATGATCATATTCATTGAGCAAGTGAGAAATTTGTTGCAAAAAAGAATCAATTCCTTGGTTAGCCTCCTCAGCCGAGAGAAGGTTTTTGAAAAACGTAACTGCTTGTTCCTCAATAGCATCCCTGAATGTTATCCAATTGCCTTCATCAGATTGTATTTTATTGATCCCCAAGCGAGCTTTACTTTCGGTTAATGAGGCATAGAAAAACTTTGTGTTGGCGTCGCCTTCTTTTAGCCACTTTAATTTTATTTTCTGATTCCAAAAATCCTCATGTTCCTTGAGCTTTTGTAGGAGGTGCACTTTAGATTGATGAAGTTGCAATCGATCGCCTTCCGATTTACTGAGATCATACTGAATTTCAAAAGCTTTGAATTCATCTTCAACATTTTTCAAATTATCAAAAACGTTGCCAAAGGTTTCCTTGTTCCATATTTTGAGCGCAGCTTTCAATCTTCTCAACTTAGGAAAATCTTAACATGCCTTGCTGAACCATTGGTTGAGTCCAATTATCCTCCACAACTTTTAAAAAATTTTGTCTCCGAAACCACACTTTCTGGAACCTAAAAAGCTTTGGCCAAATTTCATCATTTTGCTTGTATTGCAACAAAAGTGGCAATGATCAGAGGTTGTCCGGTTGAGATATTCGACAGAAGCTGAAGAAAAGAGATCAATCCATTCCTGCGAGAGGAGTAGTGATCAAGCTTTTTACTAATCCATCCCGTACTACGAGTTCCACCCCAAGTAAAATCATCCCCCACTGTGGTTAATTCCAGCAAGTCACAAGTCTCAAAGCAATCATTAAATTCCTCAATGGCCGTGTGATCCTAAACAGAAAAGCCAGAGTATTCCTCAAGAGATCAGATGACATTAAAATCGCCTCCAACTAACTAAGGAGAGGCCAAATGATGTTGTAGAAATATGGCTAAGTCCTCCCATAAAGCATGCCTTCCATTGCGAGTTGACTTTGCATATATGGCCGTCATGAAAAAAGCCTAATTATCAAAAATTCGTGTGACCTCATAATGTAAAGACTGATTCGTGCCACAATGAAGCTGAACATCAAATTCATTAGTGAAAAAACACCAAATTTTATTAGTACTAGAAGCAAAGCATTTGGAGAAACCAAGTTCAATTCGGATTTTATCTATTTTATTTGAGGTCATAGGTTTCAATAAAACTAAAATAGAGATTTTATATCTTCGGATTAGTGTTTTCAGACGACCTTGAGAAACCTGATTAAAAAATGTCTGAATTAAAAATTAGATTTGAGTATAATCTTTCATTTTAACTTACTATTTTTTTTTTTTTTGTGTAAGAGATTACTATAAGAATAATACCATAAATCCCCAAACCTTCCAAATTAAAAATAATTTAAATTTTATGCAAAAACGTTCAATTCTTTTATTTTTTGTTAATTAGTTTATAAAATTCAATTTTTTAATTTTTTATTTATCTAATATAAATTCTTAATTATTTCACTAATATAATTATTTTAACATTTATATTAATATTTTATTCAATATAAATTTTTCAAAAATAAAAAGTTTATTCCGAAAATACTTTTGTTGAAGAGATCTTAAATCTGGTCAAAGTACATAAATAGTGTCAAAGGACAATAAATAAAAAATAAAAAAAGAGGACTATTTTAACCAAATGTTGATATAGAAGACCAACATGTATATTAAAACTAATGTAAAGGACTATTTTCAGATTTTAGTCTCTTTCAACCGAGAAGACACATAAATGATTTGAATAAGTGGTGCTTAATTACTTATGGAGATTACATCTCTTTTCTCACTTGTGAATAGTTTAGTTTCTGATCTAGAATGGTTTTCAATCTCAACTTTGGATGATAATCTTCCTTTTGATCATTTAACACAATTTTTTCACCCGCTTATCATGAGAGGCTCAACGTTTTTTAAGGCCTAAGGCGAATTTTGAAATCGGAGCTTTTGACAATAAAGAAACTAAAAAGAAGGGGGAGGGGGAGATTGACCTCCTATTTTAATTTTGAGCTTGGGACCGACGACTATTAACATGTGAGCTTATAGTAGGCGGAGTTAAGTTTTTTTAAAAAATATTATTCATATTAAATTTATCTTTCTAGCATTTTTTAAAGTATTGTTTATTATAAGTTTATTCTTTAACATTTTTTTGTTGTTGATTTTTTTATGAAATTTTTAATAGCTAATCCATTTAATCTTTCTTGGACATTGTCGATTCAAGTAACTTTTATTAATTTAAGTTTTGAAAAAAAAAATTATGTTCAAGTATTTTTCTTATTTCCAAAAATATTATTATTGTATGCAAAAAAAAACTAAAATATGTTGTTTCGTAAAATAAGAAAAGGCATATATATATATATATATATTGGGCCCTCCTAACCCTGGAGCCTAGGCGATGCATATTTTGTTTAATGGGAGAGCCACTTCTGCCGCTTATTCATACTATTTAAACATGCATAAACCATATTTGTGAAATAAAATCATTTCATTTATGATATACTATAATTTAAAATGTAAAAAGTAATAATAATAATAATAAACCATAGTTCAATAAATCAAGTCCATCGGTTGGTTGCTATATATAATAAGCGTGACTGATGCATGCATATGTATCGGAAAGAAACGCCAGGGATTCCCATGGAAAATAACATATGTCTTCTTGTGCTTGTTTCGATCTCCACTTTCTAATTTTCTATTTGGTTCATCTTCTTCTTTTTTTTTTTTTTTCTAGTGTTAATTTATTGAGTTGATAAAGTTGCCCCCATTTTCCACTCAAGCTAATTCGGCCAATAAAACATGGCCAACCCTCTTCGTTTTTTCCCTGATTATGATTGGGTTTGGTGGAAGTTGGTAGAGAGATCATTTGAAAGAAAATAGGCCAGCCAACAATGTATCAGTTGTTTAACTCTTCTTTTCTTCCTTTTGTTTTCTGAATCATATTTTTTATTATTTCCTTCATTTTGAGATATTCTTATTCAACAATAATGGTTTATAAAAACTACTTTATGCACAGTAGGGTTATGTTCCGTCGGGACAAAACAAATTTACCTAAACTTAATTTGTCCAACACAAACGTGGATGAGGAAGCCTAAAGTTGATGACGCTATATCTAATTCGACAAAAGGATCAATAAGGATTAGTTAGTTAATTTTAAGGCTTTACAGTGGTTTGACGATCTATCACCTGAGATTTTATAATGGTTGAAACACGATTTGATCGGAATTTTCTATTCTCGTGATATAATATTTTAAATTTTTCTAGACTTTACTTTCTTTTCTTGTACCAAAAAATTAAAAAAAAAGTCACTAAAGAGAAATGAAAATGTTAATGTAGGGAAAACTGACAATGAAGTGTTTGAATACTCGAATCGAATTTAAATGAATTGAAAGAGATTCTGAACTTGGGGCATTTTATTACATATAAAAAACAAAAGGAAAAGAAAAATATTATTCAAAGTAGTGACAAAACATCAGATGATTCAACATTCCACTGGAACTATCGATCAATTTCTTCAATGACTGAAAAGTGGTGATAGCCACCGGCAGCAATGAGAATATGATGAGATATTGAGAATCTATTCTTGCTTTTGAATTTTGTAGGGTCTTCCACATATCATGCTTCTCTTCTCTTTGCACAAAACTGAAATTAATCAATTTCCTTATTCTTTGCTTCGATTGGTGAGGGACCATTTCTTTTTGATCCGACATGATATACTAAATTAATTGTTCTTTGATTAATTTTAGATGTATATATTATATTACGTATATGGTATCTGAAGGAACACTGTGCTAAACAAATTGTTTATTCGTTTTATGTTTAATTAAGGCTTCAAATTTGGATTATCATTTCCTTCTCCTCTTGAAGTTCTTAAAAAAGAAATAAACCAGTTCTGGTTTATAGGCATTTTTTGGAAATGGATGGTAAATCCAAGTTCCAGCCTAGGAAGCAGACTAGCTTTCTAACTGAATAAAATAAAAATGTTTCTGTATTTCTCACTGTTCAGGAATTAACAAATAAAATATCGCAGCTTACAAAAAGTACCTAAAAACCCGTCTTGGGATTAATCAAATTAAAATATATTTGTGAACATTATGGTGAAAATCTCAATTACTTTTCGACAAAATGATTAATTAATATAGTGGATGTGATTATTATTACGATCATCACTAGTGAAGCAATACTAGCGTCAGTTATTGAGCTTAATTAGATAATGATATCACCCATACTTCATTTGTAATGTCAAAAAGTGATGCACATTGATAATTTGATAATCAAAATATCCATTACGTAAGAGATGACAAAAACTTATGTGATGAGTGGATACTCATTCTATACATTTTTTTTTTTTTTTTTTTTGGTTACACAAACTAAAAAGGGTCTGACGCCTAAAATTAGACGACAACATTTCTTAAGTATGTAAACCTAAGAACCGACGCCATAATGATCGGTAGTGATTACTGGATAGCTAAAGAAATCTTTTATTTTTTTTTTTACAGATTATCAAAATAATATTAGTATTCTTTCATCTGAGAAAAAGTACTCCCTCCGTCCCATAATTATTGTCCAGTTTAGGTTTTCATTTTTAGTTCAAATTGTACTAAAAGTGAAATTTCAAACTAGATAATAATTTTGGGACAGAGAGAGTAGTTCATTTTATCAAACGACAATAAAATGACAAAAGAGACGGTGTTTATAGCTATGACAGAAGGAGAATTTTAATCAAGTGCCATAATCCAACGAACAGAAAACAGTGGATGCCCTAGACAAAGCCATGCGTAGGACAAAGGAAAGTGCTTGCACCCTACAACTTTTAAGCATAGGACGCCCCCAACCTAATGAGTCCACTTTCGTCTTCAACTTTTTGAAATACGATTTGCTTTAAAATTTTATAGCCATAATCAATATTATCTTCATCATTAAAAATAAAAATATTTTTTTTCCTAAAATGATTGTTTTATTCAAATTTTTTACTTCCAATAAATTTTGTGCTAAGATAAAAATTTAAACTAGACAATTAGTTTAGAAAAGAAAAAGAATACTATATATGTTATATCTTTTCTCGTACATATGGCAAGATGCTCACTGTCTTAAGATAACTAATCCGAGTTCTAGGCTCCTCAAATATAATTTTCATCCTAAATTTTCTCCCAGAAGAAGTTTGTTTAATCATTCATCATTTTATGCTTATGATTCCGCTAGCTATATTGTTCCTTCCGTCTCGAAATTATTGTTCTGTTTGGATTTTCATTTATAATATAAAATGAATTAAAAGTAAAAATTCAAACTGAATAATAATTCTAGGATGGAGGAAATAATATGAAACGTTAGGGGGAGGTAAGAAAACGTGTTATGAGTTTTTTAATTACCGCTCATTCATCAGTTGAAGGACATTGCTATATGACGAGTATCATCCCATTCAGTCGCTCTAAGTACACGTCGTGAGTCTCATGGTCTCCATAAAATAATGAGTTTGATTGTTCTCATAATTAGTCTACTACACCTTCTGTCAAAAAAATAAAAATAAAAAAGTTTATATTAAATTTTAAAATTTATATTTAAAACTCAAAATTAATGTGGACTCTTTTCTGAGACAGAGAGACTAATATATTAATTATATCATTTATTTTTTGTTACAAGGAAAGAGATAAAAGCCTAAATCAAGAATTTAACATGCACATTTCGTTTATTTAGGCAAAACCTAGTGTTATACATTGTTTTATATATATATATATATATATCTCTATATATAAATATATATATATAGATATATATATAGTATATTCTTATAAGAAAGATTTCTGATAAGTTTGACCGTTCAACTTCATGGCATGGCGCGCTTGGGTCACTTTGAAGTCCCTTCTATGCGTATAGTTTGCATGTTGTATATAATTATTTGAGATCTAAACAAGGTAGTGTACATTCTTAATCACTCATTCATAAAAGGAGACCAACCAAGGAGGGTAAAGGGAGAGAAAGCTCACCATTCATGGTCATCCTGTTGTTGAATCCGTTAGACTCTAGGTTCAAAAGAATCCTTAGTTATAATCGTATACTTAAATACTTTTTTGTTATTCCAAACTGATTATTATGTTTATTGTATAATCTTTACTACGATAAAAATAATTTTTATATTCAAAAAGAGAGGAGTACTATAGTAGGACCTTGAATTTTTTTCCTTTAAAAAGGAAAAAAAAAAAAAAAGTTTCATATCAATCAGAGACCATTTAAAAGAACAAGAGAAGACCTGAAACTGAAAGTGATCAAAATCAAATGATGTTGATAGAAACTTTGGAGCTTTATTGATTCATGTAGTTCAGCATAATTACACAAGAAGTAAGATAAATGTACAAAGATTTTCATTTCATATTCACATCAAACCCCCTTTGGTGCTAATGTGGTATTTCCCCCCTTATATTTTACACAAAGGAGTAAAGAGACTACAACTACAACCTTTTCCTTTTTGAAGTTACACATAAGACACACTTTTGGACCTCTCTAGCTACTTTACTTTGGTAGTACTTTTTTACTCTCTTAAGGAGTTTTGGTGAGAGACCTCTCAAGAAACAAGGCTCTTTCACTTCACTTTGACAACCCTCCAACAACCTAATTGGGCCATTTAACACATTAACACATACAAAATCACTAATTAAAAATCTAACAAACATGGTACCTAAGTTTAGGTAACATGTGTCCTAACTAAGGAAACTAAATTTAGTACCATTTCCATATGTGATTTTTACCCCCCTTAAAAAAAACAAAAACAAAAAAAAAGAAGAAGATTGTGAACTTTACTCCTTGTTTCCCACCTCCAATGTGTTCATGACATTTGAGATTTCCATGTCATTAAAACAATCGAACCCATAATCATGAACACCAAAGTCTTGACAGTCCAGTAGCCATGAGAAATCTTCATCTAAAAATGGCACCCCCCATGAGTTATGATCATCCTGAAACTGTTGCGCTGGTGGTGGTGCTTGATCAGCTGGATTGACAAAATTACTCCATGAAGCAGCATCATTAATTACTGGTGAAATTGAAACATCATCATCCAATAAGTAACTTATCAACGGATCATAATCAGTAACATTGTCAAGAACACCATCGAGTAACAAACTCGATTCGTCGGTCGAAGAATTCTCCGTCGGGGAGCATGATGATGATGAATTCTGATCCTCCGAGCTAGCTACACTAGTGCTAACACTAGTAGTAGTACTAGCGCTATTGTTATTATTATTTCCCATATCGGTTTCGGATAATTTCGGTTTCTGATCAAGAAATTTGGTAGCATTATTAATGTTATTATTAGGTGATGATAATGTTTCATCGACTGGTTTCGTTTCCTTATGAAGTGGTTCGTGTGTGACAGGATCAATCCCCATCTTGATCAGCTTTTTCTTGATGTGGGTGTTCCAGTGATTTTTAATCTCGTTATCTGTTCTTCCGGGCAATCTTGAAGCAATTTTCGACCACCTAATCAAAATTTTAAAAGAGAAAAGAGAAGTAGAGTTAATTAATTATACATAAAAATTGTAAAAAGTCTTGACATATAGCATGTTGGAAAAGAATTAATTATGAATCCCACTAACGCAAGAAAATTAAAATAAGAAAAAAAAAAGGTTCCTGGCTAGAAAAGTTCGTCCAAGATAATAACTGCAAGAACTTGAAATTGAAGCCAATCATTAGGTGTATAAATTAAGCTTTGTTTTTACGACGATGTAACGAAGACTTTGATGCATATTATGAAGGTATTAATTATACTAAGGGGAGTGACCTTTAAGTCTCGTGTCTATGGAATTGAAAGTGAAATTTTTGTATTTGTTTTTGCTACCACAAAAGTGTAACCTATAATACTCCCAATATGTTTCATTATCAAGCTTTGGGCTGTTTCTTTAAAGTAAAAGTATAGGGGAAAAAAAGCGATTTTAGTTTATATTATCATTCTCCATTAGATTTGAAACCCGACCTTATATTCAAAATCCCTACGTTTATTATCTCATACACACACACAAAAAGGAGGAACCATCATTATTACAACATGAATAATTTTGGTTGCATGCGAGGACAATGGTCCTTACATGAGAATTAATTAAATAGAAAACACTTGGAGGGACAAGGGCTCCAGGAGAGTCAAAAACAAGGATTTTCTCTTGACACTTACTCTTCCACTAACACAAATGTTACAAGTTTCGATGGAAAAAGTTGTTTCTAAAGAAAAATAATTCATAGCAGGATCAATGATAACTTTTACAAATATCATTTCAGAATGTAATATAGAAGAACTAGTGCAAAAGAGGAGGGAAAAAATAAATACTACTTTTCTTTTCTTTTTTTTTTCAAATTTGCAGTTGCACCTACCTCTTCCATCGACTTTACTGCCAAAACAAGGAAGTCAAGATTAACAGAAGTTGCTCTAGAAGGAAATTTAAGGGGGGGGGTTGGATTAGATAATTAGAACGAAGGAGTTGTAATTACGAGGTTGGGTTCCAGAATGATTGAGAATAAAATTAAAAAATAAAAAATAAATAAAAGAAAAAGAAATCTCATGGATAACGTGTAAACAATGTGAGACATGACTTGATTCACAATACTGTATAGTTGCGAGCCAACCAAAATTAATTACACATGCATGCAAAGATTAATCCACCAAGAAATCATCTGTAATCTTTTCATGTAGATTTTTGGTGGTTAATTAATCCTATAATATTTACGTACCTATTACCCAAGCGAGCATGAAGATCAATAACCAATTGCTCCTCAGCCTCAGTGAGGAGGCCTCTCTTCAAGTCAGGGCGAAGGTAATTGGTCCACCGGAGCCGGCAACTCTTGCCGCAACGCCGGAGTCCGGCGAGCTTCGGGACAGCCCGCCAACAACATTGGCCATTAGTGAGGATGAAGTTGATGAGTTTCTTATCTTCATCGGCAGTCCATGGCCCTTTCTTCACACCAAGTTTATCGCAACAAGGTTGCCTTCCCATGATCAAATAACAATGATGATGAAATTTCGATGAATTTGATGATCACACCACCAAACACTTTACTAAACAATTTATCAAAGTACAACAACAATAAGGAAAATGGTAAGACCATATGATGATGATGATGATGATGAAATATGAAGAAATGAGTAAGACTAGCTAAGCTACCCACCTTTTTATAGTTACCAACTTTTTTGAAGTGTAAAGGTTTTCTTCCTTTTTTCCCCCTCATTGTTTAGAGTGACTCATACATAATATTTTATGAATTTAGTTTTGCAATTAAATTTTTGTAAAGGGGGGAAAAAGAAATAGAAGTAAAAAATACCCCACCATTGGTGTTTTGAAAATGACACATCAGCTAAAATCTTGTTCTGGTATGATAGTGAACCTTATGAGGGGTGAACCAAAAAGAAAGTAAAACACATTTTAAAGCTGAATTGATTTTCCCACCCAAAAATTAAAAGAAGGGAGAAATTTTCTGGTTATATTTCTGTTTTTCCAATTTTATTGATCATCCTGCCGTCATGTGTTTCGTCATCGGGAAGTGTCTACGTGTCAATTTCACCGGCGATGATGAGTTCCTTTGTTTAGTGACCACCGTGGGGACGTCTCCGATGGGCCATTAGAGAAATTGGACCATAAATTTTCAGCCATGTAAATCTTTTGCTGAAATTGTGAAGTTAGCTTGAAGGAAAAAGTAAGATATATTCCTCCAATGATTTCTGAAAGTTGAGGTTGATATGTTATAATACTCGCTCCGTCTCTCGTATTGTACTAATCAAAAAGGGATATAAAATTGTAAAATTGCAAAATTATGGGTTTCTATATTTGTGTTTGGGTCGAGGAACAGACGTTAATTCGTGTAGTGGACATATTCGAGTCCCAAAATTATAAATTTCGATTTTCACTTAAAAATGTTACTCCCTCCGTTTCAAAATGTAGGTCGCTTTAAACTCTGCACATAAACTAAGGGCATAATCATTTAATAATTAATTTATATGTTAAATATCTATTTTATCCATCATCAATTGTTTTGGAATCATAACCAAGACTAGATGAAAAATCGCTACCATCATTTAGTGGGGGGCAAAGTCAAGAAGTTAATTTCTTAAAATGACCTACATTTTGAAATATTTCTCCAATTAAAAAGAATTACATTTTAAAATTGAGGGAATAACATATAAAACTATTTTCAAGCAGAAATTTTTTTTGACAAGAAAATTTGTGATATGACACCAGGTTGGCATAAATTTAGTAGTTATAGCTGTATATATAATTATATTGTTTTGAGAGATATAGAGTCAAAATTAGGTAAAACGAAAATACCAACGAAAGAAATCAATAGGCGTGGTTAGGTCAACTCAAGTCAGCTTGTTTTATACTTTCAACTTATTTAAAGTGATTTCTATATTTGTTATTCATCATGTTAATAATAAAATATAAAAACGAGACCCTGTCTTTCTTGTATTGTTTTGTTTCACTTTCTCATTTTATTATCTAAATTACTCCCTCCGTCCCATAATTATTATCTAGTTTGGATTTTCATTTCTAGTTCAAATTGTACTAAAAGTGAAATCTCAAACTGGACATTAATTTTGGGACAAAGGGAGTAATTGAAACGATACCTTCAGACGTGGTATATAATATATCAAAAAATAGTTTCTTATTATATTCTAATATTCTAGGTCGTAATTAGCGAAGAAGGTGTGAATTCATTTTCAGTTAATGTTTGAAATGATTATTCCCCCAAGAATAATGTTATATTATTTTCATAAGTATGCATAAGTAATCACTTTTAATGACTTGGTCTGAATATGTGGCAGGGCACTTAAAACTTTATACTCCTTCCATCTCATTATAATACTGCGGTTTATACAAAATAGTTTAAATTAGATTTTAGCAACTTATCATCAGTCCTAAAAAAAAATTCACAAATTGTAATACTCCATTCATTTCAATTGTTCATGTCTTTTGAATTTTGTATCATTATTATGGGAAGAAACCACATATAGGTAGCAATACTTTCTTCTTCTTTTTTTTTTTGAAAAAGGTTAGCAATACTTTAGAATGGCTTTATAATTTCACTTGATGATGAAAAATGAACTCCATTTATGGTTTTCCGGAAAAAAAAAAAACTGCTTATATGAGTACATCACCATACATTGATTCGTGATAAATTTGGGATATGTTTGTAATGTTTTCGAAAAATAGTTTTGTTTTTTGTGATTTCGGTTGGAATTTCAGTGGATTATTCGTATTTTAAATTTTTTTTACGTGCGTATAAACGAAAGAAAATACGTAAATTTAATCCAATTTAACAATTTTGATGGTCCTTTTTCATTATATATGTTTTTTAACTTCCCCCAAAGTCAAAAAAAAAAAAAAAAAAAGAGTAAAACCTGAACCCAAATTTGCAAAGTCTCAATAATCAAAGCATAGCCAGAAACCTTTTCCAAATTAGTTTGGCGTTGAAATTTCCATTGCTTGCATCAAAAAAGCTTCAAATTATGCAGTTTCTTACCCGTCTTAATATTAAAAAGGAATCTCATTTATTGTATATATTTCCTCTTCGACCATATATATAAGTTTTTATATTGTTATAGATAAGGATTGATCATTGAACTTGTCCCCTAATTAGATCATCAATTCTAGATTGTTCTAACAATTATTTTTGAGAGATACCATCAGTCAGCATATAACTCAGGAGTTAACTCCTCCTCAATGTCCTTCATCAGGAAGCCAGATAGTAAAATACGTGTCATCCGTCATGTCTAAGGGAAATATCTTGTGTAAAACGTAATTCCCCTAGATTTTTTTGGTATTGTGACAGCTTTATTTATATAATAACTAAATTAATCGTTACTCTAAAGTCTAAACTGGAAAATTTACCAGTATCATGCATTTATATGCATTATATAATTCGCAACTTGGACAGATTGAGGGGGCAGGTAATGATCCAAACGCTTGGTTTTTTGACTTCCCAGTCTCTACATTTTCAATCAAACGTGGACCCGTGTTTTTACCATTTCTTCAACGACTTAGTTTACTCAAACACCACCACATTCTGTTCCGTTGGATTCTAATCAAATGATCATTTCATTCGTTTCAAAATAATTATTGTACTTGTTTTACTGATAAATTACCGTTCAATGTAAAGTCAAAAACACAATGTCGATTGAGCAATTTCACATTTTCACTGATCCCCGAATCCACTTACATCGAGTTCCATTTTTATGCATGCAAATTAAAGTACTAAGATAGTACATAAGTTGCAGTTCTGGACAACCAAAATAGAGATAACGTGCGGGACTTAGATAATTCTGTGGCACCAAACGTCGGAAACATATGAGGACATGTTCTCACCATGGCTTTCCAATTCAGTCATTAAAATTCGAGGCATGCAAAGTTTGAGTAGGTTCACTCCTTTGGTTTTACTCATTTGTGTTTGTATGTTAAATTCATTTTAGATATTATCTTATTGAAATCTGGTTGAACTACACAAGAGCAAACCATAATTAATATGGATAAATAATAAGTATACACATAGTATTCCTTCCGTTTTAAAATAGTACAAATTTTAAAACTTAATATAAATTATTTTTTTAGAATAAAGAGAGTAATACTTAATCAAGATATTTGATCGTTTAAAAAAATAACAAGGAATGTCGCGATGATAACTTGTGACTTAAACTATTTTACCTATTAATGGGTTCATTCATGCTTTACATATTCAGCCGATGATTTGAATTTTTAACGCAAAACTAATTATAATCAGTACTTTCTCTCAAAAAATATATATATATATATATTAAAATTCCATATAAACATATTTTTTGAGACGGAAAAAGTACCAAATAGAACTTGTACGAATAACAGCAGTCTAGATTTCCGATATGGATACTATTTTAACACAAACAAAGACACACGGAATCTTCTTAGTTTGAAACAGATTGGTCTTCTCTCACTTTGTTTTCTCCCATGACTAGAAGACTAAAACCCCTAAATTATCAATATAAACTATACATATATGGGGGGTTCATGTGAATACGTGCATGCATGGTGTACTTGCCCCGTAAGTCTGAGTATATAATAGTCTTCTGTTAGGTGGAAAAACTGGAAATCGGGGACAAACGAAGAAGAGATCATATGTCCGGATGCATTCTATATTTGTGCATCGATCCAAACGTCAGCTTCGTAAATTTACAGGTAAAATTCGATTGTAATTAATGTCTCCGAACTGCGAAGAAACAAAAATAAATAAATAAATTACTACACAATATAAGTTTGTGTCTTGGTGGGCAAACACGTAGTTATGTAGATTACCAATATGAACAATGAAAGTAAGCTCGTCATTAAGCCACGTAATGGATGTTGGGAGTAATGAGTACATACGTATACTTTAATTAGGATTTGCTGCTAATCATGATTATACTATATATTTAGTATTAATGTTGATTTGCATGAGAAAGACGTATCCATATTCACTATCCATTTGTGGATAATACACAGCATTAGCGTACTAGTTTGATATATACAACTGTCCGTACGTATCTTATTTAGAGGCAGTTTTACGTATGTCCTTCAAGTAATGTATTGTCCGACAATTTTGATACATACATATATTTAATTATATTCCATCTATTTCAAAATAATTTTTTTTTATTCACTGATCATTATCAACTTTAATTCAAGATGGAAATGTAATATGGCTCCCCTTTTAAAATTGTATGCAGACTTTAGTAAACCAAGTGTCTTGCCCGTTGGAGTTCGGTGATATGCAGAAAATTGTTGACGAGTGTCTTCTTCATTGAATCTCTATTTCTTTGCCACGAAGACAATTGATATAAATACTGCCGAGTGTCAATTCTTTTTCTCTGTTTTAAAAAATGATTATTTTCTTTGTAAAATTAAACATTTTATTCTAATCCAATGAAAAACGAAGGCAATTACTCCCTCTGTCCTAAAATTATTGTCTACTTTGAGATTTCATTTTTAGTATAATTTGAACTAAAAATGACAACCCAAACTGGACAATAATTATGGGACGGGAGTATTAATTTTGGGATGGAAAAAATATTATTTTCTTTTTTAAAAAAAAGAGCATGTGTATCGTTTGGTTTTTTGTTTTTTTTTTTTTTTTTTTTTTTTTGACTTGGAAACGAAGTAGAGTACAATGGCATATCATCGTTAACTTCAAATTTTCACATTTACAGAAAGCAAAATAAACCCTCCCAACTTGGACTCCTGGAAGTCCAAACTTAACTACTACTTGACTATTTATTTTACTCATGGCTGTCTCTTGCTAGAGGTACTCTGTCACTGTTACTTTATACTTAATGCAATATATTTTGATGCTGATAAATCATCTCATACAAATATACTACAACTTAACCTCAAAGCAAAGAAATATATGTAACATACAATTAATTTCAAACGAAGGATTATTGAATTAATTAATGGTTCCTTAATGTCGGCAATTCATATGGTTAATTAATTTCTAATCTGAAGATATGTCCCCACTTGATTAATTGTGGTAACTGTGGCGGAGAGGTGACACCAAAGAGGGTAAAACTACACAATTATGGTTTAAGCAACGTCACTTAGCAGATTTAAAAAGCGACTCCCGAACTCGAAAATCAAAATTAATGATTAATTGCATACAAAGGCTTCCTAATAAGATTCACAATTATTATTTTATTTTCAGGATAAAAAAAATTTTGTCCAATTAATCTCAAATATGTACTCCTTAATAATATGAAGTTATGAACCGTAGATTCTTAATTTGGTTATACGTATTACGTACTATCCCATCGAGCCCTTTCTTCCGTCTTAAATTTTTACCTTTTTATCTTATACGATTCCGAAATTTATTTCCTTTCACTGGAACGTAATGAAGTAAAAAAGATCACGATGCCAAAGTTTATCTTAAACAGATAATATTCTATCCGCTCCGAAATAATTGTCCAGTTTGGATTTTTTTGAGTTTAAATTGTATTAAAGTGAAATTTTAAAACTGAACAATAATTTTGAAACAGAAGGAGTAATAAACAAAACGATTTATTAGCACCGTGTAATTTTGCGTAGTAGTAGTAGTGTTTGAATTCCCACAAATTTTGAGATTACTTGGATCTGAGTTGATATCATTAATTTTGTTGTGTTCAAAGACTCAATGATGCAGATTATTATGTAATGCCATCGTCATTAAGACCACAAACACCATAAAGTCAGGGAATAGATGAATGCATAAAAGAGATCCCATTAAAATTAGGGGCACCAATTCAATCAAAATATACTAATTTCAAGCATTAGATCAACCCTTTTGATGAAACTTAAACTAACGTCCTTATACTTTATGGTGCACAAAAAGTAAGATGTGGTCGGCCCACTAGGCTAAATGATCTTTGAATATAGTGAGATAATCAGCTGTTAATGGAGGGATAATAATTAAGTAGACTAATTAAGTAATGTTTAAGAACTGAAATGAATGGTTTCAAACTAATCAATGACAGAGTCGGGAAACATGTAAGTGTGATTTGGCCCGCTCCATTTTTCATAATTTGTAAAAGTAATATGGAATTATATACTCAGTTAATTTTCTCACTTGCTTCCTAAAAATTATTTATCATTTAAATGTGTTTGCAAATTTTACACTTTCTGTATGAAACTATTGGCTCCGTCGCTAAAACCAATAATTAATCAAAGCCGTAATCAATGGTACAACAAAAAGATAGCAATCTACTGTAGATATATAAGCTCAGATGTTGTGATTAAGTTTGGACAAATGTACTTTTGGTCTAAAAGACAGGGAAAGATGTGGAGGTTGGTGAAGAAATGAGAAGCAAAAGTTAGATATGTTTGTTAGACGACAGTAGTATAATCTAGCTAGTACTTCAATTTTGACATATAGTTTACAAGTAGTGATTAGCTAATGGGAAAGTCGTCAAACTCTAGATGCTACATGACTTTCTAGCTAGCTTTCTAGCCTATGAAACATGAACAATTTTGCCGTTGTTTTTCTTCAACAGATTCAAAACCCTGCATTAATATGCGAGGAAATTAAAATTGTTCTGGTAACGAGTGATATAGATTCAAGGTTAAATGCATTTCTTTTCAACGTGAATATTAATAGGTTTGCTAGTAATTTAGGTGTTCAACTATAATTAGAAATGGAGACCATAAAGGATTTCATGGATCAGTCACACTAACGATTTTAAAGTCACGTGTGATTATATGAATCGAGAGCTCTGTAGATATTATGTATTAGTATTAGTTATCAGTAATTTGGGAACGTTTAGAAACTAATATGGGACAACGTTAACTAAGCGAACAAGTCATAATATGATATTAATGCGAAACAACACAAAATGATTTTCATATATTCGCCCGAAGGAAGATTTGGGAAGGTTTTAATCGGGAAACAAAGGAACAAGCAAGTTAAGTTCGGCACAATGAACCCTAACCAACCTTAACTCCAGCTAATTATATGTCACATAAATTGACATCTAACTCAAAATTGGTAGTTGAATGCCGATGATAAATATTCTCATAGATTAGTTATGGATGTATTAGAAAGCCGATCGACGTGAGATAATAGTGTTTTATCAAAGGTGAATAAATCAAGAAAGAAACTAACACTTCAAAAACCGGGTACGATCTCTTCTGAAATGTGTTTTGTTGGGATGAGTAATCAAATCTCGCCGTCCTTTCTTTTTAGAAAAGTGCCACATTTTCGTTTATCCGGTCTGGAGGAAAGCCCTATATATCAAAATAGGGCACTCTGGAAAACAATTTTTTTTTAACTCATCCATATACATTTATCAACTCAAAATCATTATAGGAGATTGCAATTAAATATATATATATATAGAGAGAGAGAGAGAGAGAAAAGATAGTAATTAATTAGAGAGGGCCGTGGAAGTCAGTCATGCACTGGTGTGGTAGCTAGATTAATTACGAAAAAGAAATATTTAGTGGAGCCAATGAGGCCGTCAATCTGCTCTTGAGTTAACACCTGGATTAATTTTACAACATTCTTCGAAATCTAATGCTTCTGAAAGTAGTATCAAATTAACTTTTTGTAGTACAGAATTGAAAAAAAAAAAAAAAATTTGTTTCATAGTCTAGCAAGCCAGTGTTCTTTTTCTTTTTCTTTTTTTTTTGTTTTTTTGTTCTGGTCCCAATTTTTGCACGCTTATCCGTATCACCTAAAATAGATTTGCTTTTCTATGCTCCATTTTTTTTTTTTTTTTTTGCTCAGTGCGATCCTACGAAAAGTTTGACATGAGCTTTTGGGACTAACTGGAATAGTGTTGTTGTATTTGTCCTCCTCTTGGGATTAGTGAGATGATACCCTAGCTTGTTAGGTACTCCCTCCATTCACAAATAAATGTGGTTGGAAGAAAAAATAAATATTCTAAAATAGATGTCGTTTTCACAAATCGAGGTATATATTTTTTTTTAATATTATCTTTATATTGGAAATTATAGTGATATTTAATATAAAATTATATTAGAACTGAATTTTATTGGACTACAATTGAATTAAGAATAAATGAGAGTATTATAATATTTTAACAAAATAATTATTGGCTCCTTAAACTTTGTGAAATCTCTCCAACGACATCTATTTGTGAATGGAGGGAGTACTAAACTATGTATACCCTAGCTAGTTAGGCCCGTTTATAGAACCACCTAGGCTACGAATCGATTGTGTCTATCTTGTACACTAAGAACTTTTTTATAAATTATTAATAGTGTTAGAGAATTATTAAATAATTGATAAGTTAATTATTAATTTAAAAAATTTTCTTGAGGGGAAAAAAAGAGCAATTACTGAATTACCTAATTTTTATTTATCTTAACCATATGAATCAAGCTAAGTCCTGAAGTGGCACTACCTACAGTAAAAAGTCTATAAATTTATAGTTTTGTGCACTAAAATTTATTATCAATTATTAATAATTATTATTTTATCAACAAATTAATAGTTTATTAATTTAAAGTTTTTTTCCAATGTTATAAAGAAACAAGTACTCAACTTCAATCCTAGTTCCCTATATATTTATGATCCTATTTTTTTAATTATTGGTTGGAGAAAAAATCAAAGATAAAATTTTCTTAAATGTCAATTTAAGAAAAGAAAAACGCAATAGCCTCCTAGTATCTTAAAGCTTCTTAGTTTTTTTATATGTTGTATCATTATTGATTTATCATTTTTAGGGGATCATATATATATTATAATTTTCTGAAAATTTATTATCTTATTAATTTATCGAATTTGTTTTATCTTTGTACCGGTCCCGAGTTGGAACCGAAAAGTTTTATTCTATAATAGTTTGTTAATTTATAGAGTACCAATTAGGGAGTTTTTACCATATAACGTCCTCTAAAATTTTATTAATTAATTGTTAATTTATCGATAATTTAAAATTTTTCTTGAAGTTCTAATAGTATTAATTTATAGTATTTTATGTAGTTCCTTAAAAAAAAAAATGTATCTGTAGGGTTCACTCTGTCAACACTAAGTAGTAACAAATCCACTATTTTTTCTAATTACATATTAACAAATCCACATTATTGATTGACTAATAGTATTTTTTATTTTTTTAAGTCTTTCATACGCAGTCCGCGAAATTCACAGCTCATATATTCGACGAAATTGACAGTTGATTAGATCTTTTGTGTCCGAAACCTCAAAGGATGAAAAGACAATGCATCCAATCAACTGGAATATACATAGAGTCTGTGAGAGCAGAGAAAGAGGAGGATTGGGTCTCAGGATGGCCAGAAAGAACAATGCTGCCTTTCTTATGAAGCTCCCTTGGGAGTTTTTCAACAATGAAAAAAAAAAAAAAAAACACGCTCGCTTGGGAAGAGATAAGTAAAAGCCCAGAATTACTCGAATGGTGAAACAAAACAGCTAAAGGCTGGTCTCCACCGCCAGAAGGATGGCTGAAATCCAACATGAAAGGTGTCAGGTTTCACCGGAAGCAGCACTGGTCTTCTTCCAGGCTAATTCATACAGCCGATTCCCTGCCCCTCTTATCAAATTATGCTTGTTTTATCACCCAACAAAAGAGAAATATAGTGAACGTGAAAGCTTATTTTCGAATTTAATGAACCAAACAATATGTCAGTATTTAGCAAATGTAAAGATTTATAGATAATCGCTCACAAGAATTTTTTGAAATCCCATTTCATTTTTTTCTGCATCAAGCTATATTGTTCAGTACTAGTACCACTTATCCTGCTCTTTCTTCCCCCCCACAAAAAAAAAAAAAAAAAAAAACAGATTTGTGATACTGAAACTGCCGTGCAAAAACAGCGGCACAGACTTGAGACACATAATCGTGCAAAAACGGCAAATGAGTGCTTACAAGAAGAAATCCGCAAAAGAAAAGACAATTCGCAAATTTCAAAACAACTCTAGACAAGAAATAGTTTAGCTGCACATGTGTCGACTTAAGTACACCCTAACTTTGCCGAATGGCGACAACATCCTTGCATCCATCACTGTGGCCCTGCGAATTTACTCATCATCTTAGCAATTATTGGGGCAACCTTGGGATTTGCTTGATGCTTGGCCAAATTGGCAGGGTTTTTCATCACTACAAAACAGTAGAAAAAGAAAATAAGCTTACATTCTCAGTGCCCAAACTATCAGATGTTATTGTGAGGGAATAAAAAAGGCAAATTGTCAAATCCACATAGAAGTGAACATTCAGCGTAACACATATCTCAAAATGAACAGAAACAAAAAAATTCTTTGCATTTCAAACCTACACTACAGTCAATTGTTACTTTCGGGTGTAATAGACCAGATACCCCTCCCCCAAAAACAAAGCACATATAGTCCTGTACTTCACAAGTAAACTAGTTTACTTAATTGCAATACAGGACATTGCCAAATAAAATGAGCATAATACTGAGGATAAGAGTTTAGAAAAGAAACCATAAATGTGTGGCACCTAATTTAATAAATTTAAAAGACTCCCACTCCACAAAGAAATATCTGTTTCAAAAATTATTGTATAAAACATTTATCTTCCACAATTAAATCTCTAATTATGGAACATAGAGTGTAAGTAATAGTAGGGTTGGCTTACAAATAACCACCATTCCAATATGACAGGCTATGGGGGAGTCAGTCACGTTATATGCCGTGGACAAGTTTAGAAATAAATCTATCTTTCAGTAGTGACAATACCTACAACATCTGATGAATGGAGACAACCCAAAAATTCAGATATAGTTCACAAACTGATTTAAGTGATTTTGTTGAATCAAAGACCAGATATCCAACATTTAGCGTGTGACTAGATGCATGTAATGAAGATTGATAGGATGCAGCAGGCATAAAGCAAATTTATCTTCAAAACTTTGAGACCATTTTCACCACCACACCTTTTTCAAAGTTGGTTTGTTATTGTTGAACTGAAAAAGAAAACCACTAACATAGAAACCAACACGACAGCCTGCTTCAAACAAAATCCTACCGACGATAATGGTTTCAGTTTAGAAGAAGGACCGTTAGAGTTTCCAAGGCTAAACCACCCTCCAAACTAAATTCCTCCATTTTAAAACTAACAACTCAAAAAGAACGAATCTTTTTGAACTATTTAAAGAACGAATCTTCCTGTGCAAAGTGACACTTTTGCTTTTAGATAACACTCTCAATTAATTTTGTTACAGTTATCTCCAAAAAAGAAAAAAGAGGGATCCATAAAACAAATCAAACACACTTCACAATGAAAACATACCATCTTGAAGTGCTGCCATGACTTCTGGGTCTTTAAACGCCGCCATTAGTTCAGGATCCTGATTCAACCAAAACAAGTGAACGACATCAAATCATCATAACCAGCTGGTACTTCTTGTTTAGAATCTTATCACAGTTGTTACAGAAAACCAAGTGTTCCACAATTAAATAATTGAAGAGTAATTAAGTAATCATTAGTGGCTTAGTTGGCAAGAATACTTACGTTCAAAATCTTGCTGAAGTCTACATTCCCGGGCATCCCTCCAGGCATGCCCCCAGATCCAGGGAAACCGCCTCCCGGCATTCCCCCAGCTCCAGGGAAACCACCTCCCGGCATCCCCCCTGGAAAGCCCCCTGGCATACCCCCTGGAAAGCCCCCTGGCATCCCACCAGGGAATCCACCAGGCATGCCCCCAGGAGTACTTGATGATGTTTGCTCTTGCTTCTTAGCCTTCTCATAGGCAGCCTAAGGCAAAGTACATGTTATAAATTCAACAAATGCAAATATGCCCAATGAAGAACTCCACTGTGCAGCAATTATAGCATACCTGAGCTGCAGCCTTGCGCTGTTGTCTCTCACGTTCAATTTTTCTATCTTCCCTTTCTTTGCGAAGCCTATCATATTTACGACGGTGCTCTTCAATTTTATGTGCATTTGGCTCAACCTGAGTTAAGATTGAATTCGATCAGACAGAGATACAGTAGAAGGATATAATGACATTACCAGCAGAAGGAATTCTTGGCCATATGGATCTAAAATGGATATTTATTAGTGAATCCAAAGTTTACATAGTGGGCACCTTCTTCAAAACAGCATTTATCTCTTCATCATAATCCAGCTTAGAAGCCACGTGAAGATCTTTAGCTGCTTCCTCCCACTGACCAAGCATTGCTCGAGCAATACCCCGAGATTTGTACCCTTTAGCAGAATCTGGGTTAATCTACAGAGACAATATCACTAAATTAGGGACCATTTAAGACCACATGCCAACAATGCCAACTTCGATTAGGGAACTAAATGATGCTAAAAAACGCAAACAAAGTACTACAAAAATTTTGAAAAACCCAAGCAACCTGACAGATGACAAAAGGTTATGAAATGGTTAAATCTGCAACTGACTAAGTGATAGCACTGTCCAAAGAAAAGAAGTATGCTCATCGAAGAAAACCAATAAAGGAAAAAGGATAACCTCCAGTGCTGCATTTGCATCTCTAATGGCAGCATTTGGCTTCTTCATCTTTATGTACACAGTGGCTGCAAACATAAAAACTAGATTAACAATCCGAACCTAGGTAAATCAGGTTAAGGCAAATCAGCACGAAAGAAGATATTGAACATAAAGATAGTTACCTCTCGTGGCATACATAATTGCTGATATTGGGTTAAGACTGATTGCTTTAGTGAGTTTCTCAATAGCTTCCTCCAGATTACCTGATTGGCAAACAGAGAACATTAAAAAATGGAAAAATGCTGAAGAAGAGCAGAAACTTCCCCAAGTCAGTCATGAACAACATTTACCTTCAGAAATTGCCTCCATGGCCTGACCCTTTGCGTCTTGAGAAGCATCCCGGCTTTCCTCAGTAATCTCCACCGAAGGATCTCCCATCTGCAAAAATGCAGTAGAAATTCAACAATTGTAAAGAGACAAGCAACACAAACTCTGTGTTCAGAAAATAAAGCAGCATGATCAATCAACCTGTTGCGGAGGATCATTATCAGGCTCCACGACTTCACTTTCATCAAGATCAATGTCCGATTCAATTATCTCAGGCTCCTCTTCTTCATCAACGGAGACATTTGGATGATCTTCCTCAACTTCATCAATATCATCATCCTCTTCGATATCATCAACACTGGACTTCTGAGAAATAAAATCACATAAACAACATCACTACATCTCTACCCTGAAACTGCATAGAGCACACTAATCCCAAACAGGAAAAAAAAACCCAAAAAAAATAAAACTTCAACATCATAAGCAAGATTAATACCGCTTTGGACCCTCCAGCCTTGTAAGCAGATGGTGGAAGCTGTCCCCCAAGACTGAAACCGAAAAAACACATCACAGCATTAACTAAAAGCGAATGATTAATCCCAAACGAAAAAAATTAGGACCCAAAACGAACTCTCAAAGACAGGTCCCAACACATGATCACATTTCAATGTACAGGTCACACATTACAAATTCCGGACATCCAACTTTAACCACTTTCACAATAATACTTTCGTTAAACTACAGAGAGTATTACACAAGAAAAATCCCATACAAACCCTTAAATCATTCCCGTAGAACAACATACAGTATATGCTAAACAGAACGATTTCAACCCACTAATTTCCAACTTCAGTTCAACACACCATTCGACTACACGATATTGCACTCAGCAAACAACACAAAATAAAAATTAAAAAAAAAAACCAAATAATTGAAAAAAAAAAAAAGAAAAAAGAAAAAAAGAAAAGGAGATGCAGATTCCTGCAACTAGTACCTCTCGATGTAGTCACGGAAAAAGGAGAGGGAGGGATCCGAGAGAATGGAGGGATTGGACTTGCACTGATTCACGAATTTCTCTAATTCTTTCAACTTCGCCGCATCCATTTTTCACGTTTTTTGCCTCGATTCTTCAAAGGGAATAAAAGGATGAATATCGCTTTCGTGTAGTCTGATTCTGAAATTTGAGAATTAACTAAGGTTTATCGGTCTTCCAGCGTATTGTTTTGGATAGGACCACCAGGAGCTTCTAGTAACTTCCACGCCGCTGTTTTTCACTTTCTTTTGCTTTCTATAGTTTTTTTCTTTTTTTTTCTTTTAGGCCCTATTTCTCTCGTTGCTGTGGTGGGCTGCGAAAGCCTGATTACTTCTTCACTTGGTGGATCCAAATTAATTTAGCTCAATTTAAAGTGGGCCACTAAGATATGGTGAAAATCAGATTAACCGAGATAGTCTAATTAAGGAGTGAGGAGATTGGTCCGTCCATATTCTCATAACATAAATAATAATCATGATGATGACCAATCCCTCCTACTCGGCAAGTGTACATTTGTGCTCATTTTATCGTTGTTGCGTTTTGCGACTGTTTCCGGTTTAAAACTCACTACCAACTGAGGCCCTGTTTATAAACCAATTAATCACTTAAATTTATTAATTAAATACTTAATTGATTAGCACTGTTTAATAACACAATATCATAATAATTTGATTGATTAAGAAATTAATTTATTAAAGACTTAAATTTAAGTGAGTTTGATCACTCAAAGTAGAATGTCTTAAAAAATTAAGTGGGTCTGAAATGCTAGTACAAATGTAAGCCTAAAAATAAGTGATAGGCCTATCACTTATGTCTGAACTAAATTTTTGAGATGATTTTTTTCTATTTATTTATTTTGATGTTTATACTTTTGATATTTTATCTTGAAATATTTTTATTAATCATGATGTCTAGTTCTAAATTAAAATTTATGTAATTATTTTTTATTTAATAAATATTTATTTTTATATAAAAATTAAAATCCATTAAATTCCATGATCAATATATATTTACCATAAAATATGAATTTTTTTTGACAATGATAAAATATGATATTATTATTAATTGAAAAAATAATAGCATAATAAAATTTAAAGATTTTTATTACATTATTTAATAAAATTATATTATTATTATTATCATAGTTTCATATACATCAATTATTTTTTTAGATAAAATTATAAGTCGAGATACTTTAAATTTCAGTATTCAGACTTCAGATTTCAGACTTTTAAATTCAGTGTTTCGATTTTTTGATTTTTATTAAACACGACAAACTTAATCAGTTCAACACTTATGATTCAGTCTTCAGATTTCAGATTTCAGACACAAATTAAGTTTTATCAAACGGGCCCTTAGTCACTAAAGAATAAGCTAACATTCTAATCAAAAGTTACGGTCTTAATCCCCAACTTCATAAAATTTAGAAAGTGACAACAACTTTAAGATGACATCTGATAAAAGTGACACATGGTCAAACTTTTTACGGAAAAAAATTAATTAATGTTATCCACGTCGGATAAATATTTCAACAAAATGAACAATTAAATAGAAGGAGAAAATCGCAAATTATAGGGGCACCCGGATCTCCGGGATGGGTGTGTTCAAAGCAAACTTGGGAGCTCTGGGACGGGCACGTTCAAAGCACGCTTAAAAAATTGCGTGGAACGATTTTTATATTTTACGTTTTTTTCTTTCTCTCTCCTTCTCTCTTATTCCTCTCCTTCTCACACACGCATCTTCCTCCTTTTGAACCCTTCCTCTGGTGGCTTTCTATTTCAGATCTACAATAATTTGTAGATTTAAAATCAAATTCAACGTGTCTATACTTAGAATCAAAGATAATTTGTATAATCTTAGAAACTTTCGCCATTTTTCTCTTCATGGAAAATCTCCTCAACATTCAACATCTCCGGCTGGATTTTTTATTTTCTTCACCAAATGTTCACAAACTCAATTCTTTGGTGCGATTTTGCTTGCAAGTGGTGGGTTGTCGAAGCCCCCAAAATAAATTATCAACTTAAACTGTAGATAGGATAAGTCGGGTCGATCCTACAGGGACGGGTTAAACTTCAAATAACCGGAAAACAAATAAGAATATAAGAGTTGAACAAACAAGGAAGAAAATTGCAGACTCACTTGCCCGAGTGACAAAGTCACTCACGCGAATGGACTCTGCAGAACTGAAGACAAACAGACAACTGAAACCTCACTCATGGGAGTGAGAATTCTGACTCAGGGGACTGACTCAACAAACTGATATATTCATTCTCTTTTCCCTATGTAATCAAGTGGTAATCTTGTACTCTTTTTGTATGAATTCATGCTCATTTAGGCACTTATATATCTCTAAGTCACTTCCGATTTTTCTTAGAGGTATCTTTATGAACTCAATTAAACTATTTTCCAATGATTAATCAAGTCATGAAGTCATTAAGTTTTCAAGCCTTACATGAATGCTTATGCTAACCAAGTATATTCATATCTCAATTAGAACCTTGGACTCTTACCTCCAAGTCATAAGTTGAAGCTGAAATCTATCCAAACCAAGTTTATCTTTCCAGATCTCCCCTAGTTCTAGATGCATTCAATTAGTGATCAAGTAACCGAATGTAGAAAAAATTCCAACTTCAAAACATATATTCAACAAGTGCATTACAAACTCAAATTACATAGGTTCCAGAGAATGAAATCTGATTAACTACACATACAAACTACAGAAAATATAAGAAAGGAAAGAAAGAAGCGAGAAGAAGCAAATATGAATGCTGGACAATAGGTCACTCGCCTGAGTGACAATTATCCCTCCTTGCTGCTACTGGGCTTCTTCTTCTTGGAGTTCCTTCCTCTCTTCTTCGGGTCTGTGTAGTGTTAGTGTATTGTATGTGTGTTTTTTGTCCTCTGATATGTGTTCTTTCTGCTGGGAATGCAGCTCCTTTTATAGAGTTTGTTGCCAGTTTTTCTTCCAAGAGAGTCTCACCATGCTTGTGTATTTCTTATTAGCCCCAATGCCTCGTGTCTTGAATCCTATTTTGACTGGCATTTTCCCCTTCTTCTAGCAGTGGTATCAGCAGCAGCATTGATCAATGTGGGTGGTTCGTTCTTCAGCCAAGGGGACAAGCATGCTCTTGGGTTTCTATGGTGGGACACCCTTATTTACTCCTAATGTGCTTTGTGTCTTGAAGTTAATTTTGGCCAGTTCAGCAAAATCCAGCAGCCCAATTTTTGTTCCATAAGCCCCCTTTTTCAGCTAATGTTCATCAGGTCCTTGCCTAATTAAAAACACAAAACTAGTTAAGTAAAATGAACTAATTCTGAGAAATACCCCTAATTTTTTACTAATTAAAGAGAAAATTGCCATGTTTTTATGTAACAGATTAATCGTTATCAGCAACTTTTGATTTCTCCGGCCAACCCCCATAGATTCAAATTCTTCCGCGTGATTTTGTCTCAAAGAATGTTTTCAATTTCTCTTTCATGTTTGGTTTATGTTTTCTGGCTAATATTATTAATCAAGTTAATCACACGTCTCTAGTATTAATAAATAATACATTGGAGTGATTTTGGTTCTTAGTGAACCACATATGATACACTCGGTAGTTTTACAGGATTGACAATTGATGTGTGGCACTAAACAATAACAGCGTCAAAATGAACATTGGGGTATAAGAGAGTTTAAATAGAGTTGGTTATATAAGATACACTTAATATTTTTGCAGGATGAACAATGGAAACGTAGAAATGAACAATGCGAGCATGGTATTGAACATTGAGATATAAGAGAGTTTAAATAGATTTGGTTACATAAGATGTAGTTGGTAGTTTTGCAGGTTGAACAATCAAAATGTGGAAATGAACAATACAAGTATAGGAATGAACATATAGTATAAAAGGGTATAATATGATTAAATTATATTTTTGTAATTTAATTAGACTTGAAGTTTATGATTTGGGAGGGTTTAAGCATTTCAATTAGGTTAGGGTCTAGTGTGTAATGAAACATAATTAACTTATAAATTTTTTTAATTCAATTAGGCTTGAATTTAAAAAATTTAAACCGAATAAAAAGTATTGTGTATTTGGTGTAGGGTTTATGGGGGTTTAAACATTTCTGTGTCGGATAGGGTCTAGTTGTTTAGGGTTCAGGAGTTTAAGCATTTTAATTAGGTTAGGGTTTAGTGTGTGACGTAACATGATTAACGGAAAAATTGGCCGATCTACCCTAACCTTTATGTCTACCCTATTCTTTTTCGATTAGCCAATATTACCCTAAGTTATTCAACCGTTAGCCGATTTTGTCCAATTTAGCAATTTCCGTTTAAATTAACGGATTTTTTGTTAGTTTTAATTACAAAAATATCCTAATAGTTTTAAAAATTATAAAAATAACCCTAAAAATTTATAAAAATAACAAAATAGTTTCTTTTTACTTTTTATTTAATTTTTTTCTGTTTTCTTTTTCTTTTTACTATTTTTCATAACTATAAAAATATACTATATGATCTTTTAGAATAAAAATTTATTTTTAAACAATACTGCACAAATTTATAGATATATATATATATATTTGTAATTCATGGTTGATTTACATAAACATATTATTTTTTTAATACTATGGCTAGAAAATAATGATCTTAGTTTTCTAATCCATTTTTTTCAATTTAAAGAATAAGATTTTTTTTTACTAAAACTAATTTTTTTACAAAAAATTAAAAAATTTAGTATAGATTAAAAAATAATCGGCCAAATTTTCTGTTTCATGAGGGTAGATATAAGATTAAGACTCACCAAAGGATTTCTAATCGGGAGAGTGATTTTATCCATATTTAAGCGGGGTCCACTAAAGGCGAGCGGGTTAGATGGTCAGGTGATTTAGGATGTGAGATAAAATTACTGTGTTCGATGTCTCGATTCTCACAGGGGCAATCTAATTTTTTTTTTTAAAAAAAAGGTGGAGTCTAGTACTGGAATAGATTTTCTTTATATTATTTTTTCTTTTAAAAAAAAAAGACTTTCTGCTAAAGTTAGATATATTAATATCTCAAAAAATTATCGCAAAATGTTAAACCCTCGCAATGATAAATATAAATGTTTTTTTATAAAATATTTTGTACCATTTTAGTAAATGCCATGACACCATATTCTTGTGTTGGGCCAATGTAGAAATGAAATAGGTGTTTTTTTTTTTTTTACTTTCTTTTCGTACTTGGCCTTTTACAGAAAAATTTATGTTTTAGTTTTAATTATTTTTTAAATTTTATGATACAATTTAAAGTCTATTGAATTAAATTCTAATACATTAAAGT